TATATGTATGTATTTGTCGGGGCATAAAAACTTATTTACCTAGGGACACCCGGGAACAGAGCCGGATTCCGATTCCGGGGCGATTCCATGGCGTCGGGCATCGGGCGTTGGGAGCCCGGGGTGTCAACCAATTTCGAGTGCTGCTTCCCGGGGTCCTGGCCTCCGCTCCTGGCCACGGTGTGTGTGCTGTTGCCAATTGTTGTTTTTCCTACCTTACATATACATACAAATATTTATATATATATATATATATATATATATTCACATTGCCATTTTCATTTCAATTCATTTCATTTATTTATGCAATATTTTATGTGCTCATTCATTTTTTGCCCGTTTTGGTTGTCGTCGTCCCCGTTTGTTCTATTAATTTGTTGTCGCTACGGCTCCGGCTCCGCTCCTCCATGCTCCGTGCTCCTGAGTCCCCCCGGCTTGTCCTGGCTTCTATTCAGAGCTCCTGGTCGGTCTGTGTTCCATTTTGGCCCGGTTATTTGCCATCCGTCGCGGTTCCATTGTCAATTTTGTGGATACACGTCCATCTATATATATTTGTATATATAATAGATGAGAATAGAGTATTGTATATATTATATAGGCATAAAGTCGTGCCATAAACCCCATTCGTCTTAATTTGTATGCCTTGTTTTTGTTACTTTTACGGTTAGGCTCTGTGTTTTGTTGATACTTATTTATTATTTTTATGCTCTGCTCACTTAACTGGCTCTGTCCCGAGTCTCGTGTCCCGTGTCCCGTGTCCTGGTCGCGTGTCTGTCTGTCTCCCCCCCTTTGCTGTTGGATTATTGGGGAGTGCGTAGAGAGCCGCATTAAGTAGATTTTACCTGGTTAAACATTAAATACTCACTCGTAGCCACATAAAGCAATCATCATCAGCAGCAGCAGAAAGAGGCAGCTACGACGCTTAGAACCACAAACTGAAATGTGGCTCGTACTTATGAACTAAAATGACAAAATCACACACAACGCTGTAAATAAAGGTCCAATTATTCCATATATTCTCTTGTACAGATATTTAATTGTGTTTGTTTGTTGGTACATACATACTTACATACATATTTACTACCGATTGATTTCGATTTTCCGTTTACTTTCTGAGATACTGTTCGTTGTCACCAATTGAGACGCTTTGACTTTTGTTTTTTGAATATTATATATAACTCTTTGTATTTGTACATGATTATGATTATTAATGTTTATAATTAATCCACTGCTAACAAAAAATCATCATCAACTTTGTACAGTAAAACCATGAGCGAGCGAAAAAAAAGCAAATAAATTAAAACAAAAGAATTAACCCAAAAAAACAAAAAATAATAATCTAGAGCTTCGGCTCTGGACGAAGCTGGACGTAGGATTTCCAAGATTTGGTAGCGGTGCATGACGATATGTACATAAACACACACTTGTAATATATAAAACCCCTAACCTACCTATAAGTTTTTGCCATTGTTTCTCCTCACTTGAAACCTCCAATATTGACTGTGATCCGAGCGAACGGTTTGTAAATCTCTCCTCCTTATTATGGTTCATTAATAATCACATCTTTTCGGAATAATAATAATTCTTTGCCTTGATTTTTTTATATCCTAATCAGATCTCAAGTCTACCAAAGCTCTTGGAAATCGTACAACCCCAATGCCCATTCCATTTCAAAAAGAATGCCTTTCAAATTTCGTTTTAAAAACGGTCTGTTGAGTTTCTTCAGTTGTCCGATCCCCCGAAATGCACCCCATAAATCCATCCCGCCACAAGAACCCCTACCTATCTACCTCTCACCTACCACTCCCTCTCGCTTTTGATTTCTGTTTTCGCTTTAGTGATAAAAAAAAAAAACGAATGATAAAAAAAGGATTTAAATACAGGAAAATTCATTTGTTTCCTCAAGGAGCCTATGAAAGCGAATTCGAGACACATTTTTGTATAGAACGCCCTGCGCTCATTACTTTTACTTACTCTCTGTCATACTTTGTTTTCTAATTCAATTTCGTGAACGTCAAAAACAGAAAGGATTTCAGCTAAATTTTGTGCTCCTTTATGCACATGCTTATGAGAAAAAAACGAAGCACAATAAAAAAAAGAAAATGAAAGAAAAAGTAAAGTGATATATATTTAGCAACAAATATATATTGTATATATATACAGCTTTGTGTATATGATGATGAAATGTTGGGATGGGCTGCCCGGTGACCGCTAGTATAATTGTCTCTCATTTATCAATTACTTATTGTACTTTCTTCTTACTACATTCTACCTAACCTAACAACCTACTACTTACTACTTTACCTTACTACTTACTACCCTACTACTTACTACTATTCGTACTACTATTTGCTCTATGGGTTCACCATTATTCTGTGTTTGTGTTGTTCTCTCTTCCTTTCCCGTGTGTGTCCGTGTTTGTGTCCTTTTCAGTTGGTATCCTCTTTCTTTCTCGTTTTGGTTTCTTTTCAGTTCAGTTGCCTTCTCGTTGTTTAATTAGTTTTTATTCAGTGTTTCGGTTATAAGTAAAAAAAAAAAACCCCGTACCACGTACAATGTACATACATGTGTGTAATTTAATTAATGTAATTTTAACATGAAACTCAACAATTTCTGCTCTCTCGGTTACTCATAAGTTACAATTGTGTCGTTTGTTCGTTCGTTCGTTCGTTGGTTGAATATATCCTTCGTTCCTTTTTCGGTGTGTTCCTCCTTCTTTCTAGCTCTCTGTGTGTGTCTCTCTCATTTATCATTGTGTTGTGCGTGTGTGTTAGAATGTTTTGGGCCACTCTACTACTGTAATTTAGCCCGGCTATCTAATATAACTCTGCGCTTAACGGTCGCTGCGACCTAAAAAAAAAAAAACAAAACAAAACAAAAATAAAACCTTAACCCAAACCGAATACCGAAAAACCAACTGCAAAAGTATTATAATTTATTTTCCATTTTTTTCCCTTTCGGTTCTTTTTCCATGTCTGTGATGTGTCGTTTTTTGCCTTGTCATGATATACTCCTATATATGCTACAAACGCTTCTCAGTAGTATTTGACCATTACACACACTCAACACCCCCAAACACACACACACACTCCGGACACACGACACTCAAACGCTCACGTAATGCCACGCCCACCACGACACCACCTTTGTTTTGTGCCTTGTATAACTCATAAAGTGTAGTTGCTACTTAATTACAATCATTACTCAAAAGCGCCACAAGGCCCCCACACATGTGTGTGTGTATCCCCCCCCATCCTGCATATCCTTTTTGGCTTTTTACACCAAACACCAAACACACATCTACTACATAATTGGTATTACTTTTTCTTTACCCATGATTTGTACCTCTTTTTGCGACTTACTCTGCGTGTGCCTGTTTTTGAGTTATACTTGCCGTAGCCTTGCTGTATTGCTAAAGAAACAAACTGAAAACCGAAACGGTTCAATTTGTTGAAAGAATTGTTTAAACAAAAACCAAATACGTTTGTTGTGTGCCTTTTTAGCTGTAAACATTTTTGTAATGTTGAGAACCATGCCTGAATGTGTTTTATGTATATATTATATCATATCTGCTTCTGTTGGTCTATAGGCCAATACGAAATGGATTTTAGTTACAATTAACTTTTAACAACAACTCTACAACCTTAACCAGTAGCCTTAAAAAAAAAAGAAACGAAAAAAGAGAGGACCCTTTACCAAAAAAAAAAAAAAAAAAACTAAGAACGAACTTATATGTGCCACATACAGTACATATAACTCTCGCGTTTGCCATAAAAACAGAAACCACCGAATACCCAATTTATTCATCATGAGTAAATGTTTGTTATTATTTTTTAGTTAAGTTCAAATGTTATGCTTGCTCTAGCAACAAATACCTTATATAAGGCCCTGCCAGGGCACTAATATTATTTTACAAACGTAACTACCTCTGTTTCTCAACCCGAGTCCCAGCCCCCATAACCCTGATTCCCATAACCCCACCTCGTCCCACCATCCCAACCCAATCCCATCCCATGTGCTTCTGCTCGTAGAGCCGGAAGAACAAGATGAACCAAGTGTGTGTTTTTGCTTTTCGGTTCTTTATTTTCGAACGTGTCGTGCCTTTCAGTTAAGTTTACAACACAGAAGTTGGGCAGTGCAGTGTTCCACACACGGCCCAAGGAAATGCCGCTGAAAAAATGAAAAACTCTTGTCTTTAAGTTATTTCTGTGAACGTCATAAGTCTTTGGTTTGTTCTTCCTTACCGCCCTCGGTTTGTTTGCTTTTTTTTTCTCCTGTTTTCCTTGGATTTTTTATTTTTTTTTGTTTTTTCTGGAACTTACATACTTATCTTACTTATGTATTGTACTTACCGCTGCTTTTTACACATTTCCACAGAAATTGTTGTTGTTTCTCCGCCGGTTGGTGGTGCCGCACTTGAAGCTGGGAAGCTCTGCTCTGGGGCCGTGACCGCAGCAACTTGCAACACGCAACAGTCGCCGCTGCCACGCTCAACTTGCGACATTTCTGCTGATTTAAAGCTTCATTTCGTCATTTATTTGCGCAATTTTCTCCCCGGGACCATCGGCATCAGAGCGGCGGCCACTTAATTAAACAAATTTCTGTGCAATTTAAATGGCATGCTTGGGCGATGGCCCTGGGATGGATGAAGAATTCCCAGCCAGTCGGCGAGCAAGCAAGCAGCTTCCAGTGCGGCACTCAACCGATATACAAAAAAAGCAAAAAACTATACATTTTTTGGAAATTCCTAGCCCTTTGTAGATTTGGTTTTCCTTTCCTTACTTTAATGTGTTGCTACTACCTACTACTATTTACTATTCCCACTTAACCTTAACTACTTTCTACTACTAAATACTGCTACTACTACCCACTACCACACTACTATGTACTACTACTTTTTCCTACTTCTATGTGTTCTGTGTTCTCCTCAACCAGACAACATCATTTGCGATTTGCATTAATTGAATTTTTATTTGTGCTTTTAAAATAATCATGTCCCCCAGACTTTTGCAAGGGCCGTGAGACTTTACAGAATCTCTGCGACCAAATCCCGGGCGATGCCCTGCTCTACTCGCTTTTCCGGGAGAGCGCCGAGCCGGTCAAGTGTCCGCTGAAGGGTGAGTGTTGCAAGCAACGAACTTGGAGTGCAGTTCAGGGACCCGGGGATCTTACTCATCCTACTACACTCTATTCCCATTGCAGGACCCTTCATCTTCACGTATAATCGTGGCCATGGGGAGTGCAAGTCGCCGGTGTCCAACATTGAGAGCTGCACCGAGGAGAGTCGCCTCCTTCTGAGCTTCCAGGCTTGTCCCGATGTCCAGGGCACCGAGAGTACGGGTAAGTCTCGCCGCCATTGCCAGTGACAATGACTCATCATCGCTACTTGCTGGAGCTCAAGGCGAACATCCTTTCTAACTTCCGTTCATCCTTCCTTCCGTCCCTCGTCGCAGTCGAGGAGCTGACATGCCTGGCGACCTGGAAGGATGGCAACTCACGCTATTTGGTGGGCCTGGTCTCGCACCATCATGCCATTTCGAACGAGGAGCGCTATCGCTGCTTTGTCTACGAGAAAATCTCCTCACTGATGGGTAAGCAGCCAAGCCAGCCCTCGGGCAAACAGGATGAAACTTTTGTTTGAGTCCTAATACCCATGCACATTCGTAACCTTTGCAGGCGGCCCCAGCGTGCTCAGCTCGAAGGATGCCGAATATAAGCTGGCCCAATCCGGCGACGCCACTTGCAATGGCTTAGACAGTGCCGAGGTAAGCATTTTCAAGAAGCCCCAATTCAGCACACAGACCCATGCCCGATTACCTCGTTCCCCAGGCCCGACTCTCAGCTACCCCCTCCCCTGTTCACCTGTCATTTTCACTTAATTGCACTCAGAAAAAAATGTGTTTGCCAAAAATGTTGTTAAAATCAGGCAAGCGTTTTTTGCATGGTTTTGAGAACGTAAAAAGTTTACAAGTTCTTGGCCAGGCTCACCTTGCTCATGGATCTAGTGGGTCATGTTCTTTTTGGCTTATCTCTTGGCCTTTGACTCTTAGCTGATTTCTTTCTTTTTTTCGGTGAAAAACCTGAAGATGACGGAAAAACGGAGCGAGGTTTGGACTACTTGCTCTGAAGTTTAATCGAGACATGTCAGTCTGTCTGTAAAAGAAGTTTCGTAGTTTAAACCAACACAACCTGAATCTCTTTTCAGAGGTTTTTTTTAGCCTTCTGTTGGCAGAATTAATCTGTTGATAAAGCCAACCAGGTTATCTTATGGAAGGTCAAAATGCGATTAGCTAGTTTGTAAACTGGGCTCAAAGTAGAAAACATTTTTTAAAAACGTACTGCTAAGTTGGTCTTAGCGACTCTGCAAATTCTGATAAAGTATTTCTTTAGAAATTTATTTATATTTAAATTTCTAAAAAAAAATACTTTATCAGATCATATACCATATTTTGTTTTATTCTTTTTCCCAACTGTGCAGAACCTCTCCTTTTTCCAAGTTGAGGACACCCTAGGGCGAAACTAGAAATCGAACTAACTAACTCCCCTTTCCCCTAGGTTGGCTCACGTATCATGTCGCTGCGAAAACCGCCGGTAGCCGAGCGCTGCGACTTCCCAGCCTGGTTCAAAGGTCCACGCCACTGGCATGCCCTCATGGGCAATGCCGTCTACAATTATCATTCCAAGTGAGTAGCAAATAGGCCTGCGGCCTGAGGTTGTCACACAACTCAAACTGAATGACGATTCTTTGCAGCGACGGGTCCGTGCACATTATTAAGCCCAACGGCTACATGGAGACACGTGCGCTGTGCGAGCAGATAAATAAACAGACCTCGACCGAAATGATGGCCGTGGTGCACTACACGACCGGGTGGTAAGTGGCCCTAAAATTGAAAAGCTCCCCGCATCCCTGCTCTCCCCTTTTTCCACTCCAATTCAATGTTCGCTCCATTTCGCACCCCGCAGCCAATCGGGATTCATGTGCATGATGTTCTACCGCCGGGACACGTTTGTCATCGAGATACAGACGGGCAAGCCGGCCATTCGCCTGGAGGACGCCTGTGCACCGGATCACTTTGACATTAATAAGATGTCCTACATTACCTTGCTGGGTAAGGATACTGCAGTCACTGCACTCCCCACCGAGCCGTATTAAGTCTTTGTTTTATTACGCTTTTCAGCGAGCAATCCTGACCTGGCCATGTGTCCTATGGAGGGCATCTATACGCTGCGCGGCGCCATCGGGCCGCCGTATCTGGCCACGCGCCACAAGCGCAATCACAACGGCAAGTCCCATTTGGGCCATGGACATCATCACCACGAGAGCCCTGACTCGGGCAGTTTCGGTCATAAAGGGTACGTCAGCCGCCTCTTACCTCTGGCATTTGTCAATCTATTTCCGTGGTTTCAGACACAGCTCGCTGAGTTTCCGGAATGCGGAGCGTATGGAGCGCGGCTCGTGGCATGCCAATACTCGAGGCCTGCCAGTTCGCAGCCGACGTGATGCGCCCAAGGATCCGCAGGCGGAGGAGCAGCAGCAGGCCTTGGTCCTGGAAAAGACCAATAGCAGTGATACGAGCGTGGGCTTTGTGGCCACGAGGAATCGACGGGATGTACCCGGCTGTGTGCCCAACTACAATGCCCAGCGTCAGCTCTGGATAGGATGTACCGCGGAGAACTTGATCGATGTCAGTCCGCTGTGCAGCGTGGACGGAGAAGAGGGTGAGTAGCTCTAAATTTAATTTGAGAAACTCATGTTTAACTGTTGGTTTACCTCTCTAGAATACTCCTGTCATGGGTCCTGGAGCGAAAACAGCACCTTTTACGTGATTGCTCGCCACAAGGGCAGCAAGCACGGCGTGTGTCTGACCTATCGACCCACGGAGGGAACTGCTGCCAAGCTGGTTGTGGGCGACGCCTGCTATAGGGGCACACAGAAGCCGCCCGAGCATCACTTGGTGGCCAATCTATCCGTTTTGGGTGAGTCTAACCTAGAACTTTGAGTGTGAAATAGGGAATCTAACTCAATGTTTATTTATTTTGTCAGGCAAATGTGGCGAGACTGGCATGAGTGCCGCCCAGACTCACAGAATGTCCGATTGTCTGCTCCTAATGGCGATATTGGCCACATGGCTACACCTGCACAGCTGAGGGACGACGGGCAGGACGAGCATCAGCTTCGAGCGTGACAAGCCAAAGCGCAATCACTAATTCCCGAAAGAAACCAAATCCCATTATGATCATGTATACAAGACACATCACAAGACTTATTGTATATTTCGTGTAGTATGTGTAAGGCGTAATCGAACCTCTTCGCAAGGGTTTGGCTGTATATAATGTATTGTTTTTTTTCTTATTACTGCTACACACTTTTGTTTAGTTCTAAGTGCTTTAAAAATAAACAAGATTCGATATAAATTAAGACGAGCAGGAGCAAGGAGCCCACACAATATGGAAAATGGTTTGCAATACAGCCTTAGATCAGCGCTATTTGTATTAGGCCTAGTAAAACGCGTCTATTACTAAAAGTAGCGCAACTATTAATGCAAATATGCAGCAAATGCTATTTATTTATAGTACGATTACCCATTAAGCAGCATCGAAAGCATGAAAAAAAAGCAAGCAAAGCAGAAGAAAGACATCAGAACTATACGAATACAAGCTAAAAGCTTTTTCGTTTCGTTTTCTTTTGAAATCAACTTGTAGTGTGTATTTTGTATATCATTTCAAAAATGTTTCCTAAGAATCACAGGACGAAAACAACAGTTTAAACTAAATACATATATAGAAATACGAAGCGCGTTATGTATTCGAACGGTGGTTCGATTTCGCGATTTCGCTTTCAAAATGTACAAACAAGCAAAGGGCCGAGAGAGTCTCGGCCATACGATAATTATAAAGCTGTTTATGGCAGCAAAACAGCAAACCCCTACATATTTGGCATAAATATACAATATATTTTTATGTACAAACGACGCAAAACAGTACATACATTCATACGAGTATATACATACTTACATATAATGAATAACGTTTTGCATAGGATCGCATTGGTTTCATAATACATAATTAATACCTTGCAAAGTACGCATATATTGTATGATTCATTATAATATATACATACTATATATATATGCTGACAACCATACATACATAGACACGTAAGGAACTGTGAGGAATTCGAGCAACTTTGATAAGTAGAGGCACACACACACCACTTTCATAATATCAATCAACTAACTGCGTAAGACACAACCAACAAACAACTCACAACTCAACCAAACAAACAAACGAATAAAAGACATAGGGACGGTGTCGGATCAGCAGCGAAGGATGCTAAAATAATTAGAGTGTTTAAGACAATTAAGCGGTGATATAGGTCTAGAATAAACAACAACTGTGTGTGTAAGGCTCTTATGAAAGCACAACAAGGATATATAGCACCAACATCTGCTAGAGTGTGAATGAGGAATTAATGATGATCAAGATGATCAAGTGTGTATCCAAAGGATTTCAAAAACTAGCATTTTTCTCTCAAAGTACATATGTAGTAGGAACCCAAGGAAGCATTTTTGCCGAAAAATTCCACACAACATAAGCGAACGAATAGCGACGATTATCGAGTAACGAGTAACCGTAATTAAGGAGTAACGAGAGAGAGACAGAGAGACCCCTTCAAGGCAACTAGTCAAAATTTATGAAGCGTAACTTTGAGTTCCATGTAAATAGCGAATGTAATGCGAATTGAGCGAACGAACCGTTGGCGCCCCGGTGTGTATACATATGTAACTAATTGCTAGTTAGCTAAAGGACGAAAGGATTGTGACTAGGAAACCGACAAACATGCACGGTGGGCGTACAGAACAGTAAGGGTTACCTTCTAAGGACTATGTATAACATTCAGCAAACACTTATATAGAAATACGATGATAATGAATTATAAACTTGGGCAGCAGGCAGGCGGAGATGGCAGACAGACACCACCACCACCACCACCCCCATAGGACACACACTAGGCAATGTGGCCGTAACCGGAACTGCAACCAGAACCGGAACCGGATATGGCAATAGCAGCAGCACTCCATATCGTGGTGGGCCAGACAAATCAGCAAATCGTTATGTACAAAATGTACAATGATGATCGGACAGACGGAGTAGCAGCAGCTGTGCTTCAGCATTTTTTTGAGTGTACCTCCTCTCTCTAAATAAGCATTTCCATTTGTTGTCAGCTTTTAAAAAAAACGTAAATACGAGCATATTATATAATAAAGAAAGCATTTTAAAGTATAAAATCCGAAAGTCAAGCACGACGAATCAAACGAGAAATATCGAATAATGCCTATTGTACTTCAAGTCAAGGGTCAAAGTCAAAGCCCACAGCCCATCCTCCAGCCAGCACTCGAAATCCGTTTGGTAGCCGCTTTGCTGGTTTATTTTGCAATTGTTAAACTGAGACACTCAACAATCCCATCTCCAATATCCAATCTCCCTCCTGATGCAGCTCCAGATCCAGCCTTAGTTGTCTTCTTGTGTCATTGTCAAGAACCTTAGCGTGTTATCGATGTTCCAAAAAAACGGTCTCCACAAAATGTATTCGAAATGTTTCTAAAAACGGCTAAGAAATTAAACGAAAAAACGAAAAAAAAACTTAACAAATCCAAACCAAAACATAAACGTGCAACCATATTTTTGTAAATAGACGAAGCTACGCTTGAATTTTTATCCAATTTTTGTGTATGGCCAACTGCAGTCGACCGACTCTTACATATGTGTGATGGGCGGTCAGGCCCAGATTGTGGGCGTGGCTGCTCCATCTGAGTGTGAACGCTAAGCATTAGAGATATAAGTGATTTTTATATTCAAAGCGATTTTATAAATCATTTTAATTGTCTATTTTAAAAGAGTGCAGCGCAAGCAGAGGATAACGAAACAAATTAAACAACAACAAAAAAAGTATATGCCGTCGATTTAGTTCATGTGTGTGAAGAAAAATGTATGCAATTTTCGTCAATAATTGAATGTTTTGAATACTGTGTTCTAACCTTGTTTGGATTTGTTTTTTAAGCTAATATAAATACAAATACAAACTAATAAGAAATATATATTGAATGTGTTTTAATCTGAACAATTAGTTTTAATTGGGAATTTTATATAATTTTGATGTGGCATCAAAGAAGATTTAGTTTCCTTTCTAAAATCGAAAATGAATACTTATTTTGAATTTTTGTTTTAACTAAATGATACCTTTGTTCATTTTTAAGGGTACTATTCGTTGGTATATCTGAATCTTAAAGCAATCGAGCCCTACATTAATATATATACATATATAATACAAACCTGCCTCTTTTTTTACCGAAACTAAAAATCAGTAAAAATACAATCGTTAGATTAGTATCACAAAAATCACAATCGTTTATTCAAATATTGAAAACAGGGCTTAGATATAGTTATTTTCAGAAGAAATCGATCTCCTTTGAGTCCAAGCGGCAATCCTTAATGGCACCTTGTCCTTTTAGTAGTCCCATATTGCTTGAGATAGTAGCTATCCCTCATCTGGGTCAAGTCACATCCTTACATCCTTTGAGTGAGGTAAAGGGTCTTCAGTAACCTAATGGAAATCTAATGATTTCCAATCTCTTACAGACACAGTGCTGAAGGGAGTTAAAGATTAAGTTTATGTAAATGTAAATAAAACTACATAAATAATTGTTTATTTGTTTTAATTTTAAAAACATGACATCCTTCCAGGGACTCCTTTAGTAGGAGCAGTGACATCCTTCTATTTGGGTTGGTTACATCCTTCTTGAAACGGGTGGCTTCGTCGTGGGTTTGTATTGAAATTTTGTTCTCTTTGTTCATACATTTGGTGGGTGAGGTTATTTTAAGGTGGTGTATGTTTTCCTTTTTATTTTTTTTTTAGAAAAAAAAAAACATATTTTAGAGACAAAGAGCATCAGTAACCTCACCCGAAAATCTGATGCTTTTAATGTTCGTACGATGGTATTGGAAAAGGGTTTGAAGCTTTTAGATTATATGGGAGAGCGGTTTTATCAAATCAAGAACTTGAAATGTAAATTCCGCAGTTATACAAATAATAATGAATATTACAAAAAATATATATATTTTTGCAAAAATATTAACAAAAAATTATGTATTTAGTATGCATACTATTATAAAAAGATTATTCACTATGCAATAGTCTCGTGCACAAAAATATTCATACAAAATGACTGACACCCGCATCCATACATAAATGACTAAAATAGAGGATTTTTAGAATAATTCCAACCATATATAGCATACAAATAATTAACCAGGGATGTTCAGCATTAAAAGATACAGAAGAAGAGGAGAAGAGGGTCGCATCTTAATATTGTTCTTGAAAAGAGGGGATCGTGCCAAACAGGGTCCAATAATGAATATTTCCATATTATAATAGTGTTTCCAGGTGAAGATCAAGAGTTAAAAAAATACATAATGTTATTTTCTGTTACAGTTGCCGATTTGAAGTGATACATTGATAGATAGTGTCGATGTATATCCAAGTTTATCTGGTGCATGTTCATCACGAATAAGATTGTAGATGTTATAATTCAATTTTGCCGGAACGGATTAAGTGAATTTCCCATTCATTAAATACTATATATTGAAGGTAGTGTAAATATCAAGTTAATGTTGCATGTTGATAGTATAGAATTTGGGTTTTAATTCATACCGATGTTTCTTTTAGTCACCCTGAAGTTGAGGGAGTAAAATAACTGCATTCGATAATGTTACCTCAAAAGCCCTGTTAGATTCAAAAATCATTTAGGTGTTCATTTTCTACGGGAAGGATTTACGAAATAGGGAATCTTTATTTGTGTTCTAAGCTGCTGATGTGACACAGAGGATTATAGGAGGTTAAAGTTAGTTTCATAGACAAAGCATTGGAAGCATAACACATGTCCCCATCGACTCTACCGAATGGGTTCTTTGCAGATGATTTCAATTGTATTGTTCTACTTAATTCGGAAGAACTTTAATTACAGTACAACAGTTTCGTGCAACTGATGTGTATGTCTTTGGATAGGTAATTCCTAGGATATTTCATTTAAAATTAAAAATCATACTATACATCTTGCTAAATGTAAAGTTTTTGTAGGTCCTTAATCAAATCCAATCCAATATTCTAAATACGATCCTTTTAATAGTGGTTACTTATGGTAATGATTTATTTGTTGAACATTCATTTTATGTTTGGGTTGAAATCCAGGTTGTCGAGGGTAAAAAAAATAACAGAAGTGATTTCCTTTGAAATAATTAATTAATTGATTGGTACAATTTGTATAATTTTCCCTTTTTTTCTGAAGTCTGCATGTGTGTTTTTAATACAACGTAGATAATTGTAATTGTTGTACGTTTTGATATTTGAATAATAATTGGTGTTGAGTAAATGTTTTCTTTCAGTTTATAGACGAATGGTATATGAACTCCATGAGTAAATATAAACATTTAAATTATACACTTTGATGAGCTATTTCGTGCTTGTTTTTAGAAATAAATAAGCAAGCATTTTGTGTATCAAGCAAAATATTTCGGGGTTTAGAAACGATTTCTTTATATCAATGTATGTTTTACAATTTAAATGGTACATGTTAGAAAACCATAGAAATTTGTTGAATTGCCGATGTAATATTTTGTTTCAAATTCAGTCTTTACATTTCGACTTTAATCAGAATCTGTAAAGTTGTGTTTATTGCAAGCTTTATTATTGATTTATTCAAAAAGCAGTGGTAGCAATTTTTGATGATTTAAATAATATATATAATATATCTGCATTGGTGGTATTGTTTTATTTTCCGCAATATTATACGTTGAGACTTTTTAAGCTTGATGTTTTCATACATTCTTTTACATTTAATTAGAACAATAAAAGGGAGAATATATTAAACCAATTTTCAGATATCAAATAATTCAATAAGAAACACTCGACCGCAGTATGTATTTGAATGCGTTAACAAATCAAATGACGTATATATATATGATAATATTTAATTCTCTTTATATCGTTAGAATATTTTCAAGAATGGTATTTTACACAAAATTAAATAGAAACATCCGAAAAGTAAAAAACATTATGAACACTGAAAAATAATTCGTATTCAATGCTATTAACATAATAACAATTAATAATATTGTATTGAAGGTAATAAAACACATGTTTACTGGACTTTGAATGTGAGGGAACGAATTATGGTAATATACTTGTGGGAGAACCTTACTAATAAATTGATTCAGTAAATTTATTTATAATAATGCCACTTCTATATTTTTCTCAAAGCCTACTTTTTATTTGCAGATATTTTATAATTTCAAGCCTAACAGGGATAAAGATGGAACGTTAATTTTAATAATACATTTCAGAAGTCCTAAATAGTTTTTGAAATAAATCTAACCACGTAAAGATTTCAAATAACCAACCAAAATAATTTAAAAAAATTATGGAAAATATATTGAATCAGAAACTCTAAATTATACAATGTTTCAGAGAAGAAGGTGCTATAAAGATCGCCAGTAGGAGTCCAGTAATGTTTGTTTAAATATCACAATAATGTTGTTCGTAGAATTTCAATGTAAAAAAGTATTTCTATTAAGGGTTCTTTAATATGGGTATTGTTATGTATTTGTTTTAAAAATTTATCCATAGTGATGTTTGTTGGGGTTTATTTCATGTTTAAATTTCCCTTTTATTTTGTATTCAAATGAAGTTTATTCTATTTTTCAAATCAGGCTTATGTTGATTTTATTTAAAATCCAATTGTTCTCTTAGTCACACTCATAGTAGAATGTGATGTAATATTTTCAAAAATAATTGTACATATAATAATTTTGGACTAAAGCGGCTTTTGGATTATTTAATTATTAAGGTTATTTTCTTAGTCAAAGCTTTTTGAAGCATAACACTTAATGTCCTTCTTGCAAATGACTGTAAATATATTGCTTTACTTAATCCGGAAAAACTATAAATACAGTACAAATGTTTTGTGCAGAAGCAATGTAAGCATACCATATTTTTTGAATATTTGTTTCCATGTCATAATGTTCGTGGAATTTTGTTTAAGATGGCTAAAATCCCAATAATATGTATATGTACACGTTAATAAATTTATAATAACACTCAGTGTTGGGGAATCATATAGTTGATAGACATTGAAAATTAAGCTACGCCCAACTAAGTATATGTATAGCCCTGCAATTTTTGATCATGTGTAATTTTTTCAGTATATACTGGGTTCAGGTTCATTAGTGATCCTATATGTGAAGAATACATAACATAATCACTCCTGTATTCGAAAATATCCGATGAATTTTAAATTGTTTTTAATTTATTGAACTATTAATTTCAATAAATATATTCGGCTTTTATATTTCGTAATCTTATAGAATCGATTTCTTTAAGGTTTGTCCTCTTTGGCAGAGTTTGGGCATGCTTTTAGATGCAATAATTGGTATATATATAAATATTTTTTAATTTCATGTACAGCTTTTTATTAGCTTACTTTAAATTGCACTTCGTAGTCAAAAAATCCTATTGTAGTGTTGATGAAATTTAAAAAAAAATCCAGTGAATCCTATGTTTAGTTGATCTTTATATCTTATAGTATTTTCAATAGAAAAATTCTTGCTAATTAAGCTTTGGGGTTTGTGGTGTCTGTAGTTAATTGCATGTTTCCATTCAGTTTGTAGAAAAACATAATGTAAATTCCATGGGCCTGAATATATCTTAATAGAAATTTTGCGAAATTATGCAAGCTTTAATTATATATAAGGATAATAGCTTTCTTCAACATCAATGCGAAAATATATGAGTTTTTATAAAATATATTTGTTAACACATTGTAAAAAGTATCTTTTGGTTCGCTCCAGGGGATGTTTTTTAATTAATATTGGTACATAATACGCAACCAAACAAATGGGTGACATTTTCGGTGATTATTTGTTTATAAAGGTAGTCGTTTTTACATCCGTACGTATGTATATGCTTGTAGAATTTATGTAAATTAAGTCGAAGGATTATGAGTAACCTTGATCCTGAGTTTTTGAATAAGATGATTTGATTGTAATGTAAAAAAGCACTACTTTTTTTTGTTGTAAACAGTTTAGTTTATAACTCACTTAGTAAGAAAATATTAAAAGTGAATAGATTTAAAGGCCGGAGGTTGTAAGCAATCGAACACATAAAAAAAGACCAAAAAACATTTGAAGATTGAAGATAATTACATAAATATTTTGGGCCGTTAACAAAAATATATAAAGATTAATGTGTTAGCCAAAAAAAAAATTTAAAAAAGAGGAGAAAAGAACAAAATAACTATAATAAATAAATGAACAAAATAATATTGAATTAGTCTTAAAAACATGATGTACCAAAAACAACGAAAAAACAAATTATATAAATATAATTTCTGGAAATCTAAAAAAGTAGCATAATCCAAACGTTAACCTAATAAATCCAAACTAATTCTTTCTTTACATTTTACACTCCACAAAATATTTAAATTGCCTGCCTAATTTATTTCAAGGATTTTTACGAGAAGTTTTCATTGAATAATATAGGAATATTGCCACGAAGGCTATGACTTAGTAAGCCCTACCTATTATTTTGTCAATATTTCACACTTCACGAACGATACAAGGATATAGGTAGATCGATAATATTTGAGAGACATTTTTGAAGTCCTGCCTAGTTTATTTCAAGGATTTTTACCAGAAGTTTTCATTGAATAATATCGGAATATTGCCACGAAGGCTACGATTTATTAAACCCTACCTATTATTTTGTAAATATTTTACACTTCACGAACGGTTAAGGGATATAGGTAGATCGATAATATTTGAGAGACATTTTTGAAGCCCTGCCTAATTATTTCAAGGATTTTTACCAGAAGTTTTAATTGAATAATATCGGAATATTGCCACGAAGGCTATGATTTAGTAATACCTACCTATTATTTTGTAAATATTTTACACTCCACGAACGGTTAAGGGATATAGGTAGATCGATAATATTTGAGAGACATTTCTGAAGCCCTGCCTAGTTTATTTCAGGGATTTTTACCAGAAGTTTTCATTGAATAATATCGGAATAATGCCACGAAGGCTATGATTTAGTAAGCCCTACCTATTATTTTGTAAATATTTTACACTTCACGAACGGTTAAGGGATATAGGTAGATCGATAATATTTGAGAGACATTTTTGAAGCCCTGCCTAGTTTGTTTCAAGGATTTTTACCAGGAGTTTTTATTGAATAATATCGGAATAATGCCACGAAGGCTATGATTTAGTAAGACCTACCTATTATTTTGTAAATATTTTACACTCCACGAACAGTTAAGGGATATAGGTAGATCGATAATATTTGAGAGACATTTTTGAAGCCCTGCCTAGTTTGTTTCAAGGATTTTTACCAGGAGTTTTTATTGAATAATATCGGAATATTGCCACGAAGGCTATGATTTAGTAATACCTACCTATTATTTTGTAAATATTTTACACTCCACGAACAGTTAAGGGATATAGGTAGATCGATAATATTTGAGAGACATTTTTGAAGCCCTGCCTAGTTTGTTTCAAGGATTTTTACCAGGAGTTTTTATTGAATAATATCGGAATATTGCCACGAAGGCTACGATTTAGTAAGCCCTACCTATTATTTTGTAAATATTTTACACTTCACGAACGGTTAAGGGATATAGGTAGATCGATAATATTTGAGAGACATTTTTGAAGCCCTGCCTAGTTTGTTTCAAGGATTTTTACCAGGAGTTTTTATTGAATAATATCGGAATATTGCCACGATGGCTATGATTTAGTAATACCTACCTATTATTTTGTAAATATTTTACACTCCACGAACAGTTAAGGGATATAGGTAGATCGATAATATTTGAGAGACATTTTTGAAGCCCTGCCTAGTTTGTTTCAAGGATTTTTACCAGGAGTTTTTATTGAATAATATCGGAATATTGCCACGAAGGCTACGATTTATTAAACCCTACCTATTATTTTGTAAATATTTTACACTCCACGAACAGTTAAGGGATATACGTAGATAGATAATATTTGAGAGACATTTCTGAAGCCCTGCCTAGTTTGTTTCAAGGATTTTTACCAGGAGTTTTTATTGAATAATATCGGAATATTGCCACGAAGGCTATGATTTAGTAAGACCTACCTATTATTTTGTAAATATTTTACACTCCACGAACAGTTAAGGGATATAGGTAGATCGATAATATTTGAGAGACATTTTTGAAGCCCTGCCTAGTTTGTTTCAAGGATTTTTACCAGGAGTTTTTATTGAATAATATCGGAATATTGCCACGAAGGCTATGATTTAGTAAGACCTACCTATTATTTTGTAAATATTTTACACTCCACGAACAGTTAAGGGATATACGTAGATAGATAATATTTGAGAGACATTTTTGAAGCCCTGCCTAATTATTTCAAGGATTTTTACCAGAAGTTTTAATTGAATAATATCGGAATATTGCCACGAAGGCTACGATTTATTAAACCCTACCTATTATTTTGTAAATATTTTACACTCCACGAACGGTTAGGGGGATATAGGTAGATCGATAATATTTGAGAGACATTTTTGAAGCCCTGCCTAATTATTTCAAGGATTTTTACCAGGAGTTTTTATTGAATAATATCGGAATATTGCCACGAAGGCTATGATTTAGTAATACCTACCTATTATTTTGTAAATATTTTACACTCCACGAACAGTTAAGGGATATAGGTAGATCGATAATATTTGAGAGACATTTTTGAAGCCCTGCCTAGTTTGTTTCAAGGATTTTTACCAGGAGTTTTTATTGAATAATATCGGAATATTGCCACGAAGGCTACGATTTAGTAAGCCCTACCTATTATTTTGTAAATATTTTACACTTCACGAACGGTTAAGGGATATAGGTAGATCGATAATATTTGAGAGACATTTTTGAAGCCCTGCCTAGTTTGTTTCAAGGATTTTTACCAGGAGTTTTTATTGAATAATATCGGAATATTGCCACGATGGCTATGATTTAGTAATACCTACCTATTATTTTGTAAATATTTTACACTCCACGAACAGTTAAGGGATATACGTAGATAGATAATATTTGAGAGACATTTCTGAAGCCCTGCCTAGTTTGTTTCAAGGATTTTTACCAGGAGTTTTTATTGAATAATATCGGAATATTGCCACGAAGGCTATGATTTAGTAATACCTACCTATTATTTTGTAAATATTTTACACTCCACGAACAGTTAAGGGATATACGTAGATAGATAATATTTGAGAGACATTTCTGAAGCCCTGCCTAGTTTGTTTCAAGGATTTTTACCAGGAGTTTTTATTGAATAATATCGGAATATTGCCACGAAGGCTATGATTTAGTAAGACCTACCTATTATTTTGTAAATATTTTACACTCCACGAACAGTTAAGGGATATAGGTAGATCGATAATATTTGAGAGACATTTTTGAAGCCCTGCCTAGTTTGTTTCAAGGATTTTTACCAGGAGTTTTCATTGAATAATATCGGAATATTGCCACGAAGGCTACGATTTAGTAAGACCTACCTATTATTTTGTAAATATTTTACACTCCACGAACGGTTAGGGGATATAGGTAGATCGATAATATTTGAGAGACATTTTTGAAGCCCTGCCTAATTATTTCAAGGATTTTTACCAGAAGTTTTAATTGAATAATATCGGAATATTGCCACGAAGGCTACGATTTATTAAACCCTACCTATTATTTTGTAAATATTTTACACTCCACGAACGGTTAGGGGATATAGGTAGATCGATAATATTTGAGAGACATTTTTGAAGCCCTGCCTAATTATTTCAAGGATTTTTACCAGAAGTTTTAATTGAATAATATCGGAATATTGCCACGAAGGCTACGATTTAGTAAGCCCTACCTATTATTTTGTAAATATTTTACACTTCACGAACGGTTAAGGGATATAGGTAGATCGATAATATTTGAGAGACATTTTTGAAGCCCTGCCTAGTTTGTTTCAAGGATTTTTACCAGGAGTTTTCATTGAATAATATCGGAATATTGCCACGAAGGCTACGATTTAGTAAGACCTACCTATTATTTTGTAAATATTTTACACTCCACGAACGGTTAGGGGATATAGGTAGATCGATAATATTTGAGAGACATTTTTGAAGCCCTGCCTAATTATTTCAAGGATTTTTACCAGAAGTTTTAATTGAATAATATCGGAATATTGCCACGAAGGCTACGATTTAGTAAGCCCTACCTATTATTTTGTAAATATTTTACACTCCACGAACGGTTAGGGGATATAGGTAGATCGATAATATTTGAGAGACATTTTTGAAGCCCTGCCTAATTATTTCAAGGATTTTTACCAGAAGTTTTAATTGAATAATATCGGAATATTGCCACGAAGGCTACGATTTAGTAAGCCCTACCTATTATTTTGTAAATATTTTACACTCCACGGACGAAAAAGGGTATAGGTAGATCGATAATATTTGAGAGACATTTTTGAAGCCCTGCCTAGTTTATTTCAGGGATTTTTACCAGAAGTTTTAATTGAATAATATCGGAATATTGCCACGAAGGCTACGATTTAGTAAGCCCTACGTATTATTTTGTAAATATTTTACACTCCACGAACGATACAGGGATATATGTAGGTTGAATATGTGAGACACATTTCTGAAGCCCTGCCTAATTATTTCAAGGATTTTTACCAGAAGTTTTAATTGAATAATATCGGAATATTGCCACGAAGGCTACGATTTATTAAACCCTACCTATTATTTTGTAAATATTTTACACTCCACGAACGGTTAAGGGATATAGGTAGATCGATAATATTTGAGAGACATTTTTGAAGCCCTGCCTAGTTTGTTTCAAGGATTTTTACCAGGAGTTTTTATTGAATAATATCGGAATATTGCCACAAAGGCTATGATTTAGTAAGCCCTACCTATTATTTTGTAAATATTTTACACTCCACGGACGAAAAAGGGTATAGGTAGATCGATAATATTTGAGAGACATTTTTGAAGCCCTGCCTAGTTTATTTCAGGGATTTTTACCAGAAGTTTTAATTGAATAATATCGGAATATTGCCACGAAGGCTACGATTTAGTAAGCCCTACGTATTATTTTGTAAATATTTTACACTCCACGAACGATACAGGGATATATGTAGGTTGAATATGTGAGACACATTTCTGAAGCCCTGCCTAATTATTTCAAGGATTTTTACCAGAAGTTTTAATTGAATAATATCGGAATATTGCCACGAAGGCTATGATTTAGTAAGCCCTACCTATTATTTTGTAAATATTTTACAGTCCACGAACGATACAGGGATAGAGGTTGAACGATAAGATGTGAGACACATTTCTGAAGCCCTGCTTAGTTTATTTCAAGGATTTTTACCAGAAGTTTTTATTGAATAATATCGGAATATTGCCACGAAGGCTATGATTTAGTAAGACCTACCTATTATTTTGCAAATATTTTACACTCCAAGAACGGTTAAGGGATACAGGTTGATTGATAATATTTAAGAGACATTTCTGAAGCCCTTTCTAGTTTATTTCAAGGATTTTTACCAGGAGTTTTTATTGAATAATATCGGAATATTGCCACGAAGGCTATGATTTAGTAAGACCTACCTATTATTTTGTAAATATTTTACAGTCCACGAACAATACAGGGATAGAGGTTGAACGATAAGATGTGAGACACATTTCTGAAGCCCTGCTTAGTTTATTTCAAGGATTTTTACCAGGAGTTTTCATTGAATAATATCAGAATATTGCCACGAAGGCTATGATTTAGTAAGACCTACCTATTATTTTGCAAATATTTTACACTCCAAGAACGGTTAAGGGATATAGGTTGATTGATAATATTTAAGAGACATTTCTGAAGCCCTTTCTAGTTTATTTCAAGGATTTTTACCAGAAGTTTTAATTGAATAATTTTGGAATATTGCCACGAAGGCTATGATTTAGTAAGACCTACCTATTATTTTGTAAATATTTTACAGTCCACGAACGATACAGGGATAGAGGTTGAACGATAAGATGTGAGACACATTTCTGAAGCCCTGCTTAGTTTATTTCAAGGATTTTTACCAGGAGTTTTCATTGAATAATATCAGAATTTTGCCACGAAGGCTATGATTTAGTAAGACCTACCTATTATTTTGCAAATATTTTACACTCCAAGAACGGTTAAGGGATACAGGTTGATTGATAATATTTAAGAGACATTTCTGAAGCCCTTTCTAGTTTATTTCAAGGATTTTTACCAGAAGTTTTTATTGAATAATATCGGAATATTGCCACGAAGGCTATGATTTAGTAAGACCTACCTATTATTTTGCAAATATTTTACACTCCAAGAACGGTTAAGGGATACAGGTTGATTGATAATATTTAAGAGACATTTCTGAAACCCTGCCTAGTTTATTTCAAGGATTTTTACCAGGAGTTTTTATTGAATAATATCGGAATATTGCCACGAAGGCTATGATTTAGTAAGACCTACCTATTATTTTGTAAATATTTTACAGTCCACGAACGATACAGGGATAGAGGTTGAACGATAAGATGTGAGACACATTTCTGAAGCCCTGCTTAGTTTATTTCAAGGATTTTTACCAGGAGTTTTCATTGAATAATATCAGAATATTGCCACGAAGGCTATGATTTAGTAAGACCTACCTATTATTTTGCAAATATTTTACACTCCAAGAACGGTTAAGGGATATAGGTTAAACGATAATATTTGAGAGACACCTCTGAAGCCCTGCCTAATTATTTCAAGGATTTTTACCAGAAGTTTTCATTGAATAATATCGGAATATTGCCACGAAGGCTACGATTTAGTAAGACCTACCTATTATTTTGTAAATATTTTACACTCCACGAACGGTTAAGGGATACAGGTTGATTGATAATATTTAAGAGACATTTCTGAAGCCCTTTCTAGTTTATTTCAAGGATTTTTACCAGGAGTTTTTATTGAAAAATATCGGAATATTGCCACGAAGGCTGCGATTTATTAAGCCCTACCTATTATTTTGTAAATATTTTACACTCCACGAACGATACAGGGATATAGGTTAAACGATAATATTTGAGAGACATTTCTAAAGTCCTGCCTAATTATTTCAAGGATTTTTACCAGAAGTTTTTATTGAATAATATAGGAATATTGCCACGTAGGCTATAATTTATTATACCCTACCAAGTATTTTTAAATATTCACAATATTTCCATTTTAGTGCCACGAAGGCTAACACGTTTACCAAACCCTACCTATTTGATCTAAAAATTACGAATACACTGTCATGGAGACAAACATTTGTATCAATTCCTACCTATTTAATTGAAATATTACCAATACACTGCCATGAAGGCTGATATTTATACCAATCCCTACCTATTTCGTTAAAATATTACCATTATAATGCCACAGTGGCTAACATTTTTACCAATTCCTACCTATTCTAAATATTACCAATATTGTGCCACTAAGGCTAACGTTTTTACCAAGTCCTACGTATTTTATGTAAGTAATTACCATTATAAATCCATGAAGACTAACACAATTATACCAATTCCTACCTATTTAATTGAAATATTACGAATAAAGTGCCACAACGGCTAACATTTGTACCAATTCCTACCTATTTGATGTAAATATTACCGATATAGTGCCACGAAGGCTGTTATTTATACCAATCCCTACCCATTTCGTTGAAATATTAGCATTATAATACCACGATGGTTAACATTTTTACCAATTCCTACTTATTCTAAATATTACCAATATTGTGCCACTAAGGCTAACGTTTTTACCAAGTCCTACCTATTTTATGTAAGTAATTACCATTATAATGCCATGAAGACTAACACAATTATACCAATTCCTACCTATTTAATTGAAATATTACGAATAAAGTGCCACAACGGCTAACATTTGTACCAATTCCTACCTATTTGATGTAAATATTACCGATATAGTGCCACGAAGGCTGTTATTTATACCAATCCCTACCCATTTCGTTGAAATATTAGCATTATAATACCACGATGGTTAACATTTTTACCAATTCCTACTTATTCTAAATATTACCAATATTGTGCCACTAAGGCTAACGTTTTTACCAAGTCCTACCTATTTTATGTAAAAATTACCATTATAATGCCATGAAGGCTAACATTTGTACCAATTCCTACCTATTTAATTGAAATATTACCAATACACTGCCATGAAGGCTGATATTTATACCAATCCATACTTATTTGGTACCATTTGGTACCATTATAATGCCACGATGGCTAACATTTGTACCAATTCCTACCTATTCTAAATATAACCAATATTGTGCCACTAAGGCTAACGTTTTTACCAAGTCCTACCTATTTTATGTAAAAATTACCAATGCACTGTCATGAAGACTAACACATTTATACCAATTCCTACCTATTTGGTTGAAATATTACCATTATAATGCCCGATGGCTTACATTTGTACCAATTCCTACCTATTTTTTAAATACTACCATATAGTGCCACTAAGGCTAACGTTTTTACCAAGTCCTACCTATTTTATGTAAATATTACCAAGATATTGCCACGAAGGCTAAGATTTATACCAATCACATTATATTTGGTTGAAATATTACCATGATGATGCCCGATGGCTTCCATTTTTACCAATTCCTACATATTCTAAATATTACCACTAAGGCTAACTTTTTACCAAGTCCTACCTATTTTATGTAAATATTACCATTATAATGCCATGATGGCTAACATTTATACCAATTTCTACCTATTTGTTGTAAAACTTTTCCAATTTAACGCCTCGAAGGCAAACTTTTTAACCAATTTCTACCTATTTATAAATTTTACCAGTATAATGCCACGAAGGCTAGATCGATGTAGTTTATATATAAAACCAAAACAGTGCCACGTTGGCTAATAATAATATAAAATGTTGAAAATAATATTTTTTTATGTTACCTTCATTGAAAATATTTATTAATGTATTATTTTTAGCCTTAGCTATTATATTGTTTTAATATGGTAGTCAGTATTAATAATCTTGTTATTTTTCTCTTTTTAAATCCTGCCTACTAGTCATAATATTTGTAATAATACTTGTTTATCTTAGTAATTAAATAACCAGGTTTTATGCCGATTTATAAGATGGGTTTACCTGTCGGAGATTAGGGAAACATATTTTGTAAGAGGATCATGTTGGTTGGTTTATTATTATTTATATATTGTCTGTTTTGGTAATTTTTGTGTAGTTTTAAGGAAATGAGTACCCAGAGTATATCAGTGTCCTAAAAATATGAGAAAATATATAATATACGTACTTGTAAGCTAAACTTTTTTACATATAGTCTTTCCAATACAAACTTTTAGCGTTTTATAGAGATCAATGGCCCTTCCTTTTCATGCGGACACTTGGTCAGATTTTTCGGTTTGGTTTGAGAACATCGGAGCACCTTGCAGGTAAATCGCAGACATTTTCGGTTGGTGAGATTATAACCCTTCCTTCATGAGATTACTGTGGGTACGCTACGTAAGAGTATGGTGATCTAACTGAAATCGGATCTGAGCTTTAAATAAAAAAATGTCTCGAGCAAAAGTTTCGAAATTTATTTTTGAAATCTTAGAATTTTTTTATTCACGTTTTTTCAGTGGCTTTCTTTTTCCATTAAGGAGCGCTCTTTTCATATTAATTTTTTGTTTCCATTTTTGTTTTGTTTCGACAAGCAAGTAAGTATACATCGGTACAAGTAATTCTTATTTGGTGAAGTGTACAAAAACAAAAAAATTTGAACAGTATCTGGTATAAAAGAACATATGTAAGTGACACATTGTTGGTAAAAGAAATGTCTTCCGCTTTGGCTTTACAACAGAATATATAAGGATACAGGAACAAAATTAATATTTACAACCAACTGATTTGGCTTTCGAGAGGCTGGTTCGATTCCTAATCCATAGACGATGTGTCATTCAACATTGATTCAAACGCCAATACTGCCAAGCTCAACCGATCGATCGCTGTTGGAACAGAGTCATATGTATGCCTGTCTGCCCGCTTTGGTACTTGTTCGATGATGATAGTAGGCAACAGAAGGCCGTTTTGTAGGGCTCACCCTTAGTGGAGCGGAAGAGAAGTCGATACACCGGTGTTCCTATAACACAATCCGCACAATCAATCTCTGACTGAATCGCGAGCACCCCGGGCTGACTGGTCCGCGACCACTTGACCCCAGCAGACACACCACAGGCGGCGTTGTCTCTGTCCCGGTCACAGTCGCAGACGCAGCCTTTGCCAAACGCAGCAGCACTGGGGTAACTGGGCGGAGTGCATTTTCAGGCACCCATATGCCGCCCCAGGCTCGCGCAGGGTATCATGTTTTCACGTTCGCGTATCAACTTTCAACGCCCAACTATAAAGTTTAGAGAAAGAAATACATATTGCTGGTTAAGTGATGTGGCAGAGTTGCATATAGAGGTGGTTACAAATAAGATTAACGCTAGATAAATGGTTAAGTCGACTACAAACTAGTGCCTAAAAGAAGCGACAGAAACAACATGAAGAAAGACGTCAAGCTGGAAAGTTTTCCATCGAGAAAAAGGGGGGCAGAGGGAAAGGCAGGCAGTATTATTTACGCCACATCGAGATTTTGCGCAGCTGCCATTGCCGACTCATACTGTGTATGGGGTCTGAATAATATTATATAGTATGTACGTATGTAGAAATCCACGTCAATTAACATACAAACATGAGTATGTAAAACGGGTCTGAATACTTTAGGGTGTGTACACCCGAGTGGGAGAGAGATGGAACTACGTGTAACGATTACCCCGGGGCGTATGAGCTATACGCTATATATAGAGCAGCCAGTTGGTGGCCTCTCAATCCGGGGGGTTGAAGAACAAAGAGAGAATCGAGAACTTTCGACTGGGAATGAAATGGGGAAGTATGTATGTATTCCTCGTTACGCAACGTGGTGAAAATGCTGACATTTTCAGCGAAAAACGTAATCTACGGGTGACGTTTGAGGACGTTTTTTATGCCATAGATTGTCTTCTCGTAGCTTATAAAACTACATCTTAGGCTTAGGTTGTGCTTACGAATAGAGAAAAGAACACGCTGGATTTGCTGCTGTGTGTACCTGGCTTCCTCCTATCCCATTTTTAACCAATCCGCTGGCTCAGAGAGAGTGTAGTCACGGGGGGATATCCTGGATCTGCCTCAGACTGTCTACGTAGGGGGTCACTTTCTAGCCAAAATCGAGCTAAATTCTGCCTCTCCAACTGCCTGTCGCATTTTGAAATTCCCCGATGCGATGATGACTAATCCGCAACGTTGCCAGGGCCTCTGGTTTCTTTGTTTCCAAATCGAGAGCAAATATTGCCCAACGCTGAGAAATACTACGTGGGCCCCTCCGTCATTTGGTAGCAAAACTGCTCTTCAGCTCCTCCTTTACTGTGATTTTTACACTTTTCCATTTTTTTTGCCAATTAATAAGTAACTACTGCTTGCTAGCCAGCAAGAGTGAAAATTTCTTTGTACTAATTTGAGACTTTTTTTTTCAGAAACACTATGACTGCACTTGAACACTTTATTTTTGAGAGTGCCGTTCTCTGGCCTCGACGCCTCTATTTATACCCGAGTCGCTCGCTTCGGGAACCATCTGCCAGTCTGTCGCGGATTAAATTGAGGGTGAGTGAGTAGGTAGGCAATACTGTATCTTTGGGATACGTGACTCGGCAGGCCTGTTTCTCGCATGTTCCCATGGCAGTGGTGGGTGACACTGTGCTACAAAACAACCCTCAAACTGAATAATCGAAAATTTTTCTACCTATAGTTAGGGAGAAGAGGGATCAAGGGTTTCAGTAAGATGTATTATATATGGAAAGGAAAATATCGTATTTCTATGTAAAAGATTTAGTAGATCAAATTCATTTAGTATTATTATTATTATTATTTATTATAGTTAACAGAGAATGTATGTAGCACAGAGAAAAAAGAATCTCCGAAACCATTAAAGTATATGTTTATAATTTTTATCACCACCTCCTGGCTTTTCTATCCTTGAGCCCAGATTCTATAATAGCTAAATCTATCAATCTATGGTTTATACCCTTGAACTTGTATAGAATAGGCAGTTTTCCATATAATTAGATGGAATTTCATGTTGATAGGTGTAAAGTGGAAATTTCCAGAGCGAGATAGCATTTTCGAGAGAAAGACAAAGACAAATCGTAAATGTTTACTCACAGAGTTGCCACCGAGCTATGAATAACTTTAAGTAAGAAATATTCTAGAAAGTTTAAATGCCTTTAAAAACAGTTAATAATGTACGAAATAAATATTTAGAAACTAAAACTTTATAAGCAAATTTAATATGATTAATATAAATAAGTATGTATCTGTAAGATACATGTAAAATAGTCAAGTAACTCAAAAGTACCAAAATCAAACACGTATAAAAAACGAACAAATGGCGCTTTATTCCATTTTGTAGTCAGTGCCATGTTATTTACGCGTAGAACACGAACTTGACAAGTAAATAAATTGTAGGCAGTAAACATTATTCGTTAAATTCGAAAATAATATTATACAAATTAGGCTGAAAATTACGACAATAATTAAATGTAGGCGTTGTTAAATACATTTTTGTTTTTATATATATTTATTCATCTATTCAAAGAAGACAGGATTCAAGGCTTAAGTGACAAACATTTCCCTTCCCAAACTAATTATCATTTATTATTTTTCCATGCCTGAAAAAATAATATATACACGTTCATTAAGAACACTTCACAGAATTCCTTCTGCCAAAGCAGCATCTGCCAGCTATATATTCCCATGCCTGCCCTAATCCGGTTTACAATGCTCCTCTACCTACTTGCTGTTTGCAAACCCTCCCTCCTTAAGTTTCCCATCGCTCAGTTTGTGAATGGGACCCACAACTGACCCCGAATCGGCGCAGTGTACGCTGGCGAGCGCCCAAATGTTTGTGAGTGTTGAACCAAACACAAGGTTTTTGAACCTTTGGCCGCTGACTGAGCAGGAAAGCCAGCTGTTGCAAACGCACGCGCATCCTGCGCTCAATCGACCCTCGGGGTGGGTTGATGGGTTGAACTCTCCTACATAGAGAGAGGGAGAGAGAGAGGAAAATGAGTGAGTTAGTGAGTGAGTTCCTGCACATCCTTGAGCAACAGGGCTCAACTACGAGCCACCGTGAATAAATGCTAACGAGCCGAGCTGCAAACTTGAAAACTGCCGTTAAACTTCAAACAAAAAGTATGCAAACTTTTGATTATTGTTTTGGACGACAGAGTTTTAATTGTCGACCCAGCTTAACCAAGATGCCCAAGATGATGTCCGTCCATCGAGCGGAAGGAGCGCTATTCTTCTCCGAGGAAGCGCCGCAATAAAACTAAGTTGCACCGGAGCAATTGGCAGGAAGAGGCTGCACATAAACATAAACAAACAGCCAGGCGAAAGCAATTGACACAACCAACAATAGAGGCCAGCATAATGGAGGCAACACGGAAATTGCGTATACGCCGTGTGCCCCTCTTGTTGCTCTCTATGTTCTGCTTTGTTTCCTGCGACGGGCACGCGACGTCGACGACGAACAATGGGCCATCCCATCGACAACCGAAAACGGAAGCTGGCAAATGGCATAATAAACGTATTTATGAAAGGGGCCCGAAATGAGCATATGATGTATCCTGCTGCCCATGGGCTGGCTGGCCGAGCGAGGCCGGCGAGTCAAGTGCGGTGTGTGTGTGTTTTGGACGCAGCCTCCCACACGGTCGCCCTGACATTTCAACGATCCAACCTTGGATATTGCCAAATGTGGTCCTTCAGTTTTAAGCCTACAAAGTTGTGCGCTAAGCCTGCGAGAAGCCTCCGAAAAGGACGGGCAACGGGCAACGGGAACAGTAGCGGTAACGGGAAAGGGAGCGGTAACGGGAGCGGCATTAACATATATGTAGGAGAGCTCAGTCATTGCATTTGAGGGCCGTTGGTTCAGCGCTCATAGAGTACATACATAGGCGACAAGGACGACTGAGCGAGCGAGCGCCCGATTCCGAGTGCCAGTCCGAGTGGGTGGGCGCCGTCGCCTCCCACTCTCCGTTTTGAGCCGAAAAGCATGAACCGAGAGCCGAAGTGGCGGCGGCAATGGCCACTGAAGGCGGGCGCGGTTTGGCAACAGGGACCTACATTCGGTCGTATCCCGCCAGTCGGCTCTTATCGGCTCGCTTTGGCCTGAAAAGCGAGCTGCCGCGGTGTCAGTGCCTGCAGTCCTCATTCAGACGCGAATCCGTTGACAACGCGGTCGCCCCAGGGGCGGATAACTCTAATATCCATTCCAGCGGATCGGCGACCCACAACATCGCATCACGGAAACGACCACGCGTACTGCTCTTCTAACCTTTCGAATGTTTTGCTGATTTATCCGGGGGCGTGTTTGTGTTTGTGCTCGTTTGTGTTGCTTTTGGTTATGCTTCTGCTTCTGGTGTACCTGCCGCAGTGGGAGCGACTCCCACGTTCCTGGGAGTTGCCAATTTCCAGAAGGAGTTGCATCTGGCTTGCAGTTTCCAGCGCTGACATTTTAATTAGTTTTGCTCATTGGCTGATTTGTTAGCTAAGGTCCTGGTGTGAACACTGGGTCTTACGCCCCATTGGACCCAAGTGGTGCCAAGTCTAAGGACTATTGGTGCTGGCGTCTTCCTGCGAAATGGCCAGCAGGCTGGCATGTAAGCTCAATTAGGTTCCAAGCACTTTCACGCTCCAAGAAAGGCCCAAAGGAGCGCCAGCTGCGGAACTACACAGAGAAATATGATTATTATCTTGGCCGTTTCGATAAATTCTCTAAAAGTGATTAAAAAGTAGCTTACAGTTTAAAGGAATATTTAGGATTTATAATTGTATTAGATATTAACAATAGTGGGAATAAGAACACATTTTTGAGTTGATTGTTTACTAACCGAACTGAGATTTAAACAGATTTAAACATAAATTCTATTAAAATTTGTAATAAGTCATTATTTTTGGTTAAATAAAAGACAGAATTATTTATAGATATTTAAAATACTGGAAACTCTATCAAAATTCGATTCAAGTCAACTACACCTGTTACAAGGGAAAGTCGTAGATAGCCTTCTTATAATTTTAAAGCTCGGATAATCCCTCCCAGTGATTGCCAAGATATATACTCAACTTTTTTTGTGCCGTGTTTTGGACAGTTTGAATTGTGTGTGCCAGAGGGTCCTTAGTCGCCAGTTTGTCTGATGTAGACACTCCCATGGAGGAGCCGCACAAAAGAATGTCGCGCTGGCTTCAGGGCTTCAGGGTTTGTTAGCAATTGTTTCAATGCTTACTGGCAATTTTTCGGCACTCAATCGAAGAGCTGCGTGCGCTTGGCAGTTGTGCTTAATGGAATTTTTATGCGCTGCTATTGAGTTGCTCAATTGCTCGTTTTTCTCGATGTTTGTTCGACTTTTTTTTTTCGATATTTTGTTCTTTTGGTTTTTTGTTTTTGTTTTTTTGAGGTCAAAGTGCACGCTGGCTGGCTTTTCAATTGTGCCAAAACCAGCTGCCAAACAATGGGAGAAATGGCATTAAAATTAATTAGCGACGCGCATGTGTTGGAACTGCGGCTGTGACCATGTCCCTGAGCCAGGCTCTCCGTTCTCCTTTCTCCGCTTTACCATTTATCCAGGCAGCCAGCATTTGGCCTTATCTGAAATATGCACACGAGGCCTTGGGCCGCCGACTTTTTCGTAATGCCAGCCAAGGCAACGTCAACCAGCTGACGAACGACCGCCCGAGCCATTTCATTCCGCATTCGCATTCGGCAACAAACTGTTGTAGGTGATTTCCCAAAAAAAAAAAAACCCCGCAGAAGAAAAGAAACCTTGGGGAAAAAACGAGTTTCGAGAAAATTGCAATTGTTGTGCAACCACAAACACAACCCCTCCGGATTACATAGTGGGGGACGTGTACGCTAATTAAAAGTTGCTCTCTAATCCAAAAGCCACGGAACTTCCTGCATATCCTACGACAACGCCAACGATATAATGCCAAGCGACGATGCCATTTTTATAGACCTTTTCTAAGCAGCAGCAGAGCAAGCAATCGAGAGAGATACGAATCAAGGGGATAGCGAATCCCAGGCGCCACTAAAAGTGTCAGCCGCCTAATCAAGACGCCGGATGATGGCAGCCAGCGGGCGGATTCGCAAGCGCAAGCATAAAAGCCACACAAGTGGCGACACTCCGGCAGCGGCAGCCACAATAGCAACGCCACCAACACCCAGCACGGCAACAGAAGCTAGATTGGCCAGCCGGGCAACAATGGCGCCGCCAGCCAGGCCCTGGCCCATGGCGGATGATGAGGCGACGGCGGAAGAGAGCGACGCAGCCCTCGCCGGGGACTATAATAATTTCACGCATAATTTCGTCGATTTGCAGAACCTCTTGAATTTCAACGAATTGCTGGGGAGCAACTCCAATGGCACCACCAGCCCCGCCGGCAGCAGCTCTTCGAGCGCATCGAGTACCATCAAGTTGAATAACGGCGCCATTATGGACACTCTGCTGGGCACGGTCCTGACCACGGCAACGGCCACGGTGGCACCAGCGGCCAGTTCGCTGATAGCCACACTGGCGGCGGCCACCACGACAGCATCGGCAGCAGCGGGAGAGAGAACGCTGGCCATCGCCGATGCCACCTCATCCACCTATTACGCCAACTTGCTGAGCATGTCGCCGGCCACCACGAGCTTGATCTCGGCGGCGGCGGCCACCAAGTCCTACAACGAGAGCACCCTCCGATGGGAGCAGCTGGACGGGAGCGTGGACTTTGGATTCGATTCCCTGTACCGCCACTCGCTGGCCATGTCCATTGTGTACTGTGTGGCCTACATTGTCGTGTTCCTGGTGGGCCTCATCGGGAATAGCTTCGTGATTGCGGTGGTCCTGCGGGCGCCTCGCATGCGGACGGTGACGAACTACTTCATCGTGAATCTGGTGGGTGTGGCCACTAAATCTCTCAGATGAATCCCATTAATTTGAAATAAAATTTCCATTTTCGCCAACCCACGACGCCAGGCCATTGCGGACATCCTAGTCATTGTCTTCTGCCTGCCAGCCACTCTGATTGGCAACATCTTTGTGCGTAAGTAGCTCTTTAATTCCGTAAGACGATGAGATTTATTTGCCACTGGGGGAGACATTATGGAGCCTGCTTGTGTTTCAGTTTTTTTTTTTTCTGTTGCTTCTGCATATTAGCCCGATTTATGTCCTGCAATTAATCGCCGCTTAGATAAAGCCCCCGGCAAGCGAAATTTGTTGCTTCTGCGTGTTTACGCTGCGTATGCGTAATTTCCGAGAGACAAATGAAAGCAAATGTAATGGACTCGCCATTAGACCTAATGTTAGCATGAATATTCGGGCCATAAGAGCTCAGCTTCTGGCTATCATTGGTAGTGCAGAACAATAGGTGAGGCTGAGGTATGGCTTAGGTGAGGTGCATTTTTATTCTTGGCTATATCATTCAAGCCGTACTTATTTCTTATATCTCCGAGCTGCAGACTGCAGACTCGGCACTGGCTGAGTTTTTAGTGCATACATAAAACAGATATAATAATGCAGCACTTGCTCCTCAGCCTTTGAAGTGTCCTGCAAAATGCCAAGTTTAAGCATCGAGCATTTTACGAGCATTCTGACATGGACGAGGAGCCATAAATATATAGACAGACAAGTGGAGGAAAATAACCTAATTAGTGGCAGCGAGTTGAGACTATACAGAGTGCAAGATACTCTATTCTTATATTTAATAATATGTATTTAGATGTTACGAATGATTTGCCTACCAAATATATTCTTAAAATAATCAACATTGAAAATTCAACTCCCTTAATATTCAGTCTGACAAATTTATTCAACCCCAATTCCAACGAAAAATCTTCCTAGCTACCCAAGCAAGATGTTCGCACTCAATTAAATTAATTTAAAGGCTAACCCCAAGACCTTCTTGGAACTGACAATCCGCCAGAGCACAAGGTACAAGTGTATATTTAATTAAAGGCCAATTGCAAATCCCAGCGACGACCCACAAACGACCCGATAAACGAGGCTACGCATAATTGTATGCTTTAATTTAAATAAATTTGCCTGACATGCCTATCCATCCATCCATCTATGTATCTCTCTGTCTCTGTCTGCCGCCCAATTGGTTATCCGCTCGCTCTTTCGGTCTATATCCTTTGCTCCTTGAGACTTTGTGGGCTGTCATCCAAATTGATAGTCGCAGGAGCTGGCCGAGAAGGTGGAGTGCCAGAGTGGCGAATGTCTATGCAAATCGCCGTCGACATGGAAAAATGATCGAAATCCTTGGGAAATCAAATTCCGATTGCGGAGCACGACATGGTAGTTCCATCGCCTCCATTGCAATTTGCCACGGATGGGTACCCCAAGCTACAATGTAGCTTGTAGGCTCGCAGGTTGTGTGCCAAGTGTTGCCAATTAAGTGGCTCTGCCCTGTGAGAACTTTCTCTCTTTTCTGCATTTTTTGCTGTGTCTGAAGTGCACTGAGAAAAATAGAAAAGTACATAATTAGAAATTTATTAATATCAAATAAACATTTATATAAGGACTTTGTTTAAATAAGTTAGTCAAGCTTTAAAATGGTAGCGTTAAATAGTTTCTAGAATTTTTTCTACACAATGTATCTCAACTCCTAACTTATATCCCTGTGTACCTTGGCTCCGAGACTGCACTCAGTGCCACCCAAAAACCCAAGGGGGTGGGAGAGGGTGGTATAGTAAACGAAGTCAGCCGAGTGAAAATCGCAAGGAACGAATGAAGCGAGTGGCGAAAAAGTGAATGAGTTTACCTCAGCCTGCATTGTGTGTGTCCTGTGGCCGTGTCCGTGTCACTGCGCACTCTCTCTGCTGTCTCTCGCGACGCCTCTCCCTCTCTTTGTACTCTTCGATTCGAGTGTTTGTGTGTGTGTGTGTTGGTGCATTTGTTGCTGGTTTTCGGGGTGGCCTAAAGGATCATCGACACAAAACTGACCTAATTTCACAAATTCGAGCTAGGCGCAGGGTTGGCGCTGCCACGGGGCCCGACAACTCTTAGTGGGTCACAGGGGGTGGTGCTGGGTCGAGTACTGACTGGGTGATGGGTGCTCGTTGGGATTGGAGCCACCTCACAGTTCGGCTCCCTCACGCTGGCATGTCTTGAGTTGGGCCCAGCTGCTGAGGCCTAAGCGAAAACGCCAGTCACAACAAATTGCAGCCCTTTCGCTGGCATTGGAAGGTATTGTAGTTGGGGTTGGGGTGGTGGGGAGCAAAAGGATTCACCCCTTCAACTCTTAACCCCACTCACATTCCAATTCGCTTTCGACAAGCTGCTGAAGTTTAAATCGAAGGCAGCGAGTTCACAGCGACAAAGGATGAAATAGCACTTTTACAGAGAGAAAATGTGGGAATTTATTAATATAAAATATTAGAAGATCTAATAAATTAATTAAAAATATTAATAAAAAATATTAGAAGATCTAACAAATAAAACCATTAAAATATAGATGATTAAATATGATATAAATTATATTCGTAGAAATTTTTAGGGAATCTAACTATAACTATAACTAATTATCTAAAATTTAGATGTTTAATAGCTATATATTTATATTAATTTTATTAAATTTTATCAATATTTTCCTGTATCCAACTCCTTGTGAATATTGACTTTTCCCACTATTTTTATTGAATATTTTTCTATATGCATAAAACTATGTGGTAGTTGGAATATTTGGCATATTTGCACATCAAACATGGCGCATTGGTGTCTGATAGTTTTTCCGATGCACCGCCCACGAATCGAATAGCTAGAGGATAGATGGTCGACATGTTTTGCCATCAAACTGAATTATATGAAATCAAATTCGAGCCGCCAAAGTCGACGTCTCCGTCTCCGTCTCCGTCTTCTTCTCCGTCTCAGTTGCAGTCGCCGTTGGCAGCTACGCTCACGGTGGCCATCGCCGCAGGCAGCGCCATTATCTAAGCACACCTTCAAGCCTCAGAATTGCAATGGAAGGTTGTTTGCATTCAAGGCTCTTTGCGGCTGGATGAATTGACCTAAATATTTCGCTTGGCAAACCTAATAGTCAGGGTTATACCCACACACATACCACACGACGCGAGTGTGTGTGTGTGTGTGTGTGGGTGTGGGGGGGAGGAGGAAGGGGGCACCTGTATTGGGTTGGGCCTGCACTGTTGCTGAGGGATTGGGGGTGGAATGTGGCTCCGGCTCTGGCCCTTATTTATGTGTGTGCTTCGAAATCCAATAAAATGCGAAATGAATTGATTTCCCAGCAACGATGCCGCCTTGAGACGAAGGATATCCTTGCCTGTCCTGGCCCATCCATTGATTGTCCCAAATGGCGCTTTATGGCCATTGTTGTGCCATGTTATCAATGCGAAATCGTTATCATTACGGCCCCCTCTGTCACAGGATCCGCTTCACGGTTGTTGCTTCCACTGTTCCGCTCTCGATTTGCCAATCTGTGGGTCACGTTGCCAGTTTGTTCATTAAAAGGGCCGCGTGATTTGTGCCGGGCGAACGCGGCGTATGCGTAACGCCGCGCCGCCTATCCCTGCCGTTGATGAAGTCATTTTTCAGAACTCTCTGCTCGCCGATTGTATTTTAATTCAGTCGCTACGTGCCGTCGGCAAATGGCAACCAACCTCTAACCTCTCCCAGGAACAGTAGTGGCTCCAGCATCAGCAATCCCATATCTCACCTCCAGGACGTCTCCCCCCCTGCTTCGATACGCATTGCTGGGCGAACCAACTGTGGTATTCAATTTGCCGCCGAGCTGCCGCATCGAAGTCGACGCAGAACGTGACGCCGTGGCTATAATCATAACAATAACGCATTTGTCTGAAGTGTTATGTCCTTGCCATGGCCACTCCCAGCCCACTCCCACTCTAATCGAACCCACGGATTTGTTACGCCTGATTATTTCATTAACTTTACGACCCAACTCTGTGCATGACAATGCGGCACCCGAAACGAATTTTCATTGCCTAGAATAATCCAATCCACTTTGCCTATACACAGGAAATAACATCGATTTCAATGGATTAAATATAGCTTTTTAAAGAATTTATAGATTCACAATGAAGGCTTGGGGGTAATAACAATTAATAGGCAAACTTTTGTTAAGTAGGGTATCCCTTTTAACTTTAAGTAAAATGTAAAATTCCCACTAAGCCCTCTTTATGGGTTCACAGGACTCGATTTGTTTTCCTAGAAACCCCTCTTTTTCTGCCGTGTGGCGAGAGGTAAACAAAAGTTCGCACAGGAATTCAAAGAGGACAAAAATAAAAGGCTTAGGGCTCACTTGACATTTTGTTGGGGGCAACCACACCACCACCCACAATCGAAGGCTGTCGATAAGCTCAAATATCGATTGGTATTATCTCCTGTAGTTGATCAATATTGAGCACAGGCTTACGCTTATAAATGGCGGCGTCTGTTTGCCATATGTTGCCATGTCAAAACACACTCCAAGTCAGATCAAACACTCACCCCACTCACCTTGACGCTGGGCTGTCGGTTCAAGAAGCTGGATGTTTGTCAAGCAAACACAGGAGGACTTGGCTTGGCTTGGCTCCACTTCACGCCACAAATTGGTAAAGCCACAAAGAGTCTCAGGGTCGCCCCGACACGCTAGTCAATTAGGGCTATTTCGGTTACTTCAATTATGTTTGTACAACATGTCATAAAAGTTGAGAGGTCCATTCATTAATTATGGTCTGGTTCATTAAGTATTTCTGGTAACATATTTCAGCTTTTCACAGTTTTTGTTATTATTTCTAAAAATAACTAAACATAAAGGACATTTGACCTTGTGGCTTTGTAGGTTACTCAACTTTTAGAGTTAAAGTTTATTTATCTAAATATATGTTTGCGAAATTTTATTTATTAAGAAAATTAAAATAAAGAAATCATTTTATTACATTTTTTATTAACTTATTTAAATAATAATCCTCTTACTCAATGAGCTACAAAAGGCAGTCTCTATACAGATACAAGACAAGTTATTTCTTCCCTCTCACCACTTATTTTATTGGTTTCCTAAAAGAGTATTTTCCCAACTGTTTAAACTATTTATCCTGCTTACTGTCTTCAGTTTACCACCATTGTTTGCCTGGGATTATCAAAAAGTCACTCCACTTCGTTGAGCTAAGCATAATATTGTAGAAAGTGGCTTCAGATACTTGACTGTGCTGAGTGCACTGATGCAAACTTTAATCCCAGACAAGCAGGGAGAGTCACGTTTGCTGGTCGGAATAGAATTGCATACCCAATTAGATAGTTTATTTGCACAGAGGATGTCTAAACAAGGGTCTATTTTTGAAGAGTTCACCACTCAGAGGATGCTAATTTTCCCGGCTGAAAGTGATGAAGCGTTTCGCTAACAAATTTGAATTTAAATTTGTTTTTAACCAACTTTTGAAGTACTCATATGCATAAAGTTCGCCCTAAGAGGCAGAGCCCTTCGTCCCCGACAGAAAGATATATATCAAAGTTCACCCATATCAGCTTAATATCAAGTGAGTAGCCAAATACACTCGCATTAATGGCCTCGGATCCAGTCTGTTGCACTTGCAGGTCTGCCCAAAAGCCATTTCAAATCGAAGGAATAAAACCGAAAAACCCATTCGGGATGCGGTGCTGTCTCCGCGCATTTGCTTGGTCCTGTGCACACACAGTTGATTGTTTGTCTGTCTTGTCTGACGATGTCCTGCCCACACATGATCCTGGCCAGAACCTGTGCCAAAGAGTTCACCGGCACTGAGCGCAAATAATATTTATATTTTTATGTGCCAAATCATATTAAAGTTAGCTTTTATTGGCCTGCTTCGCCTGCGTACTGTGCGTATGCATAATAAAATGCGACAACACATCGAGATAAGACAGGCGAACGAGACAGGAAATTAGAATCTCCGGCCCGGCAGCAGGAGGCGTCTCCTCCGGACGACCGTTGAACTCCTGGAGCTCCTCTCGTCCCAATCCTGCTCCGCTAATGACGTGTGGGCGGTACTTGTTTAATTGCCATTCGATATGTCATGCCCCCGGCTCTGTTCGGCGGCTGTCATCAACCTTGGGCGGGCCCCGCCCCCCCATGTGTGTTTTATAACCTTTTGTGTCTGAGTGAGTTATTCCTCTTAGCATAAAATTCATAACGCACAACTATGCGGCAAGTGCGGCCCGTGTCTTCCATCAAATGGAATAAAAGGAATACAAATTAACTTAGGCAGGACTGCGGTCGGTCCTGGTCTGGGCAAACAATGCTGCCTGCCCAGTGCCTGCCTCCTCGCAATCTGAGACTTGTCACCAAATTATGAATGATATGCAGCACATAAATCTCAGTCAGCAAACAACGGTGGAGACGTGGGCGGCTGCGGCGGCGATGACAAGAAGCATTGAACGTTAACCGGGGACCCAGGACAACTCGAACCCAACTGGCCGTGACCAAGACAACAACTGTACAGGGAAAATTCCACAAGATATTAGGACACTGAAAAAAATTAGATGCTGGTCTTCTAAGGTTTAGAATTATTAAAAAAGATGTGAACTAGAAGTTTTCTATGTTATAGGTAACGCTCCATAGCTCTTTCGCTATAAAAAATTTTCTTGATCTACATATTCATAGAAATTTTCGATTTTTTCTACTTTAAATCGATAAATATAGATAAGTTTTAGTTTTACTAGAAAAGGTTACGACCCAAATATTCCCGACAGAACCATTTACGTTTATATAAAATCAAATTAAATTGAAATAATAAACTTAAATTTAAATTATAATTTTCTTCAACTATTTTACCTATAATATTTTGCTTAATATTTTATTTTCTTATCATTCCTTAAAAGTAACTCCCCTTTATGCCAGTGTAACACCAGGACAATGTGACCGAAAGTTACTCAGCATAATTTTAGCATTGTTTATGACCAATATTTACCCATTTCTCTCTCCCATTTACACGTTTCTCCCCAACTCTGTAGCCTGGATGCTGGGATGGCTGATGTGCAAGTTTGTACCCTACATACAGGGTGTCTCCGTGGCAGCCTCGGTTTACAGCCTAATTGCCGTCTCCCTGGACAGGTAAGTTTAAAACACTAGCAAAAAATACGTGGCTTTGAACTTTTATTGTGGGATCAGTTTTCGTTGGACATGGGAGGGGGTCGGGTTCATTGGGACTGGGTTTGGGACTGGGATTGGAATTGGGATTAGGGTCGGTGGTTGGTGCCGCTAATGATGCACAACCACAGCGGGATGGGCGTGATGCACTGGAATCAAAGGCACCACAGGCTTGATGGCATGCACCGCTACGACGGGCTTGTGGACAACGGGGGTGATGACCTTGACGGCTGCCGGATGATGCACAACATGGCTAAGAGAGAAATAGAGAGAGAGTGGGGTAAGAGGTGATAAGGAGATTGAAAATGGATGGCCTTACGAGTGCACCGAGTGGGCGCCATGATGGATGATGGGAGTGTGCACCACTGCGGGGTGCGCCACCACGGGAGCTACGGCCACCACTCCGGGATAGGCGTATGCCTGGGCGGCGGCGAGGGCGACGAGCACGAACAGCTGCGGCGGATCAGAGTTCACGGATTAGCTTCATTAGTGGGATTAACTGTGGAGCAGCATGTGGCTGCCACACACAGATACAAATTATATTTTACTTCGCTAATTAATTTTTTTTAATTCAAAATATTTAAAGTTGTTTTCTGACACTTTAATTTAATAATATTCCTTTGTCCTGGACACTGTACTCACAACTTTGAACATTTTGTTGGCGGAGGTTTGTTTTGGCGGGATAACTAAAGTAGGAGCTAGGCTAAAGACTTGTAATTGTCAACTGTTGACATAGCAAGCTTCGAGTGCCGCTTTTATAGGAGACAGATCGGAGCAGTTGATCCGAAAGTAAGCGCCGCTCAATGCAAGCAGCTGCTGGGAAAACTGGTCGTCTGACCGAGCAGGCGGCAGTAGGAGAGCTAGTGGAGCAGGCGTCTCAAGATCAAGTTCATCGTATGTTCTACGGTTTGCCTTGTCCGTATTAGGAGCTGCATACACTCAGTTTCATGTTTTCATGGCGTAGAATGTTGTTTGCCGAATTGCCTTGTCACACTGATACCGATTCCGACATCATTGATGAATCTAAGTGTCGGCCCTGCGCTTCCTGCAGCATAAAAGGCATAAAAGCTCTAGCAACTCGAATTGCTTTGTTACCATAAAGTCGCCAATGTCGCCTCCAACTGATTTATCAAGCGATACTAAAGCGTTTTGACGTGGGCAAGTCATAACCCCAAGGACAATAAGAGATTTCAAGTGCCTGTCGCCTTATGCGCGCACTTTCATTTATATCAATTTCTAGCCACTATCGGAGGAGGAGTCATATCCACAGGCCCTGCTTCTCTGCCACTGTCATTTTTCAGCCAGCGGGGACAAAGGCGAAAACAGCAGTATACGTATAGTACATCACTTCATCGTTTGGTCACCCACAGACCCGCATGACAGACTCCGCCCACGCCTAATTCCATCCCACTGAGTCCGAAGGCAACTCCTAGTCCAAGTCCAAAGTCCAAGTCAGTGTCCATTGATGTCTGTTTATCCAGTTGCTTCGCCAGCATCCTCTGTTGCTTTATGTTTTTACGAGCCCTCGTAAACTGAATCGAAGTTTAAGATTTATTATCTGTAACACGAACTTAAATCTCTTCCCTCGGACTCAAGGGCTGATGGGATACAGATGCTGGGGGGTCTAAGGCGCTTCTGACTTAGCTTATCACTCGATTTTACTTATGGCAATGCCATTTAATTATATGGCTATATATGTGTGTATTTAATCATAAAATCCATATATCAGCGCACTCGCATATAAACATATAAACATAGTTGTGGCTTTATGGCCCTGGCATTGAGGTTTTTGTGTCTTCGTCTGTTGGGCTTTGGCAAATGTCAACAGTGCGTATGGGTAACCGCAGAAGGAACTGAAATAAGCGCCATAAAACTGCGGATGACTTAGAAGGCGGGCAGGGCAAAAGGCGGTGTATATATGGCAAAGCCAATTATTAAAGTTACCGCTCCTAGAAAAGCTGTAAATGTGCAAATATGAATACACTATAATATGTAAACTACCTTCATTTGTTAGCCTGGGATATAAAGTACTTCACTTTTATGTGGGGAGTACTTTTACGTGGGGAGGCATCTAATATACATATTTGTTCCATAAATCAGCCAACGTCACCGCTGCTATCCTTGCATTGTCATTGTGTAGAGATTTGCTTAGGTGGCACTCAGCTAATTTATTTTACTAAGCAATTAATGGTATTTTATTTTAAACAAAGCAAAATCCTTTTTAAATTATTTTCTGTGATATTTATTAATAGCTTTTAGGAGACTTATAAATTAAATCAAAAATTTATAATTTTTCTTATTCTAAACTTTAACAAGATAGTGGAAACAATAACGTTTCTATACATTTCTAAATAAGCAAAACTTTAGCTTAAACCAATTCCCCATAGATGTATTTGCAGCTTAAGTTTCAATACCATTTTTGCGATTATTAGAACACAATTTGCCATAAATTTACCTACCATTGATTACTTATCAAAGCCAGGATAAATTCACTTAAGAGCTGTGTGTACATTTCCATAGACTTTATTTAAATATGAAGGATACTAAGATGTCGGATTTACATTTTTGTGACTGCATTGTCTCTACAGCAGAACTCAATTAGGCTTTCGCCTGATTTATGGTCGAGGCAAATCGCATGGACAAATTATGTTAATGCAATTGGTTTGCTCTCCTCTATAAATAAACGTTATGACAATTTGATATTGGCTTTGCGGACAGCTTTGTTTTGGCCCATTCCACCGCGTTATCCTGAGGCGACGAGGGTCTCGGCCCCCCACTTTGTTTGGCTGGCTATTTTTAGGTCGGAGTTGGGGAACCAGGATTCCGGGAGTAGTGGGATGCCCTCTAATGGAATTACCGCTGTGCTATCTGCCCAATGTTTTGGGCGGACAGACGCCAACGCCAACGTCTACAACGACCCAAGTCCAAAAATACGAGCACAATGCACGTAATTACATGGTTTTCGGCCAGGAGCAGTCGAACCCAGACTCCTCCTCTTTGGGCCAGGACAAGTCTTGTCTATGACCATTGAGAGGGCGCCACAATGAGCCGGCTGCACTAAGCTAAATGAAAAATGCTGAACTCGTTGATGGCCCCATACCGACTACGACTCGTCTCGGTACCTCTCACAGCTCTTATTCAAATTACAATTCATTATGGCGAGCAGAATAAAAAATGACAGCCACGCTCCCATGGCGCACATTTTTAGAGTGAGTTCAATAGACGAGATTGGAAAGCGAACACTCAGCAGAAAAAGGCTTAAGGATGGCGGCATCCTGCGTGTGCGAATTAATCAGCGGAGATATTTGCATGCCGAGAGCTGTGAGCTCCCTGAAACGGTGTCGTCATCGTCGCCTCGGCAAGACAGCTTGATGATTGCCATTATCCTTGACGGCTCAGCGCCGTCAGTGGCATCTGGAGGTGCTGCTCCTGCTCCAGCTCCAGCTCCTGCTCCTGCTCTGACTATATCTGTTAACACCCTTTGTTGGGACTCCCCTCTTTCAGGTTCATTGCCATCTGGTGGCCCCTGAAGCAGATGACAAAGCGACGTGCCCGCATCATGATAATCGGCATATGGGTAATCGCGCTGGTGACCACCATACCGTGGCTGCTCTTCTTCGACCTGGTGCCCGCCGAGGAGCTCTTCTCCGACACCCTGCTCTCGGCCTACTCCCAGCCGCAGTATCTATGCCAGGAGGTCTGGCCCCAGGGCACCAATGGAAACCTCTACTTCCTGCTGGCCAACCTTGTTGCCTGCTACCTGCTGCCCATGTCCCTGATCACCCTGTGCTACGTGCTCATCTGGTTCAAGGTCTCCACGCGGTCGATACCCGGCGAGTCGAAGGACGCCCAAATGGACCGAATGCAGCAGAAGAGCAAGGTGAAGGTCATCAAGATGCTGGTGGCGGTTGTCATCCTGTTCGTGCTCTCCTGGCTGCCGCTCTATGTCATCTTTGCGCGCATCAAGTTCGGCTCGGATATCTCGCCGCAGGAGCTGGAGGTCCTCAAGAAGGTGATCCCGCTGGCCCAGTGGCTGGGCTCCTCAAACAGCTGCATAAACCCCATCCTCTACTCGGTGAACAAGAAGTACAGGCGAGGGTTCGCGGCCATCATCAAGTCGCGTAGCTGCTGCGGACGCCTCAGGTTAGTAGATCGTTCTAAAAAATAAGAATTATTTTTGTAAGGAAACATTTAGTTAAAAAATCTATTAATTAGTTTAGAATAATTTCAAGAAAAACTTCTTATTAAACAGCTTTGATATTTCACCTAACAGGTACTATGACAACGTGGCTATCGCCTCCAGCACGACCAGCACTCGGAAGTCGTCGCACTACCACCAGAACAGCTCCCGGAAGAGCCCGGGCAGCAAGGGCAACGCTGTATCCTACATCTATGAGCACAACTCGCTGCGGCGCCACAACATGATGCTCAAGCAGGACAGCAACCTGTCGCAGCAGATGCTGCTCAAGCAGGACTCGCACGGCTCGCGCCAGTTCCTCATCAAGCAGGAGAGTTCCTGCAGCGACGCCTCCGGCATCCGGCGACCGCTCTGCCAGCAGGATAGCAACGGCTCCAAGGTGTCGCTCTCCAAGCAGGACTCGATCGTCTCCTACATGGAGTCGCGCCGGGCGGGCGGTCTCAACGACTCACTGACGGAAAGGGACAGTGTCTCGAGTGACTCACGCCGTCCGGGGGCCACACCGATTTCCCTGCTGGATAAGCGACAGAAGTTCGTCAAGCAGGACTCGGTGATCTCGTTCGTGGACCAGCGTCCGGAGCAGCGGCGCCATCAGCTGGTTAAGCAGGACTCGGTTATCTCCTTTGCCGACCAGAGGCGCGGCCTGCTCCACAAGCAGGACTCGCTGATGGCCAATCGCACGGGTGATGCACCCACCCACCACGTATCCATACTGAAGAAGACGGACTCGCAGCTCAGCTACGGAAGTTCGGCTTCTCCGCGCCGAAATGCGGATCTATACGAATAGGCTTAAATGGGACAAAAACTAAACTCCAAACTACTGTAGGAACAGCCTACAAATAAGAAGGTCGCTAAGGTCAAACAATGCAATTTGGGGGAAATGTAAGCCAAGGACTATTGAGCAATATGACATCAGACACCATGTTCTTCTTTGATTTTTAGGCTATATCTTCTATATAGTTTTTTGCTTAACAAAATGTTCAGGCTCACATTTCCCCCATAATATTGTTTGGCCAAAAATACGACCCATTTTAACACGCAAACTAACGCAACGATACCAAAAAACGTTACCGAACCACAAAGGGAAATCCTTATATATTTCTATATAGCAGCTAGACAGAATGGAGAGATCGAACAAAGGATACGATAGGTGATATGGATAGCCCTACGACTGTGATACAAGTCGGCAGTACTGGGTTCAGAACTTGGTCGCCCATATCCGTCATCGTCGTGGAAACTGCGAGATAGTGCCAGTAGGGAGGGACATCGGGATGGACCAATAGGGGTATATAGTGGGTATATCTAATCAGAGGTCGCTTAGCTAGAAACCGAAACGCCACACACAGGACTACACCACACACCATAGACATAGACATAGACATAGACATCACACACTCCCCACAGACCTAATAGTTAATAGATGTTTTATACGTGTTTCAGAGGTACTACACAAGATATGAACTACTCCTTGGCTATGGCTATGGCTATATATAATACCTATATGTACCGTTACGCAGTTTTAAGATTGTTTGTACTCGCAATTTGCTATATCGAATAAATTGAAAGGTAGGTGGTAACAGTGAAGCGGCAAACGAGGGGGTTAAAATAGCTTTGCTAAACTTTTTGTACGAAGGCAAGAACGTGAGTGAAAAATATAAGGGGCAAGTCCAGTATCATAGTTGGGGAGAAGACGCAAACGAAACAAAACAAAATGAGATAACACCGAGGTCTAAAGTAACGTACCTACTAAATTTTTGTATGGAAATTCTTACAATTTATACATATATATTTATATTGATTTTGGAATAAGCAATATGCAATACATGCGTATGTCTGCGCGTACGCCTTGTATATCTATCAAACAACAATAATCAATTTTATTAGAATTTTACACAACCGAATCGGGGCAAGGAAATGGTTAGTAAAACGCAATACATCAACGGATGAGCAAGTGAGTGGCCCAACATCTTAGCCATCAGCTAGGGTCTTGGCGGATAGGAACAGATATTGACGAATAATTCGATATCGATTGAGGTAGGCATCGAACGCGCACAAAGTAGCACTTGACCATGCTGACATTAACTTGAAACACAGGCGACGGGATGGGGTTAGATTAGGGATTAGGGCTAGATTAGGCTTAGGCGGGACGGAAGGACGAGTTGGAGTTTTGGGGTCTAGATGGGGGATGACGCCCCCAAAAGTGAGCACAAAGCAGTCAAAGATTTCGCACTAAACGTATCACTACAAACTAACAAAGAAGCAAACAATAATCGAACTCAAATTCGTTAAACACTAAACAACACCAATGAACTTTAAACTATATGAAATAAAATTTTAACGGATATAACGAGGAGGAGCAGAAGGAGCCGGTAGAGTCGATGGATACGAGAAACCAATGGTAAAACTATGAAACTAAACGTAAAGATTAACTATGCAATTTTATTGTTAGCCAAAATTTTATAAATGTCAAGTAACGAACAAGTAAATATTTATATGTATACAGAATATATCAAGTATAAAGCGTACGTTATATATCTTTATATACTTCGATGGCATTAGGCGCTGATCCGTAGAGTTTTGGCACGCTTCGATGTCGATCAACGATTTAGTTTAACCGTAACTCGTACTCCCTAGTCTCCATTTAGACTTCGGGGTAGCTTAAAGCCCATTCCAAGAGTCGAACGAACCACGACGAAGACACACGCGGGCCGTTCAAAACTCCAGCGCTTAATGCAAGGCAAGAATCTACAATGAGGAATATCAATAATATATTTCAAATATACATAAATATATTAATATTAGGCTTAACGACTCATATGCCAGCAGTATCGAACAACAACAACAACGTCTAGTAAACAAGAGAATACATTTATACGAAATACATATTATATGCTGCAAGTACGTAAGGGACGCACAATAGAAATGTCCTTTCCCGCTTTCGATTCCACTCAAAGACAAAGGAGCAGGATTAAAACAAAAGTAATATTTATCGAATAAACCAAATTGAACTTTAGGTTTTAAAGTTTTAAAACGTAGAACATACCCATACACACATACATACATGTGCATTACGTTCGTTATTTACCAATTGTGGAAAATACAAATATAAAAACTGATCGCGTTAACCAGTTACAAAAAACAAAGCATGACATTAATGGCAACACAATATTATATATGTAAATATATGTGTTTATGTATACATACATATATATGTATATTTATCGCATACAACTAACACCAAAGATACATGCATGTTAGCAGAAATAATAAATAAATAAATAAAATAAATAATAACTAAACTAAAAGGGTTCCTTTTAAATGCGCGCCTTATTTACCAATAGGCGATATCAATAGGTAATGTATGGTAATCGATTGGATAATCGATTTTAAATTCACTACGTAGTTGTTTAGCAAATATAAAATTATATTATAGAACAAAGGTCAATCAAATTACAATGTAAAACCTCAATCAACCAAAGCCTTTGCAAACATTTGTTTAGTTTTTTTATTTAAAATCTGCGCCAATTCGAATATCGAATATCATTATCGATCTGAGCAAAGACACCGTCCTCCACCTACCGCACTAACTTTGAGTGAGATCATTGCCCAATTAGCTTGACGCAAACTCAGACGTACCATGAATCGCTGGACAAATCGTGTTGCCGTTGTCACCGGCGCCAGCTCTGGAATCGGAGCAGCCTGCTGCCGGGATCTGGTGGCCAAGGGAATGGTCGTCGTGGGATTGGCCAGAAGGGAGGAACGCCTCAAAGAGCTTAAAGCATCCCTGCCCGCCGGCCAGGCAGCTAATTTTCACGGCCGTCGTTGCGATGTGAGCGATGAGCAACAGGTTAAAGAGGCCTTCGCCTGGATCGATCAAGATCTTGGTGGCGCCGATGTGCTGGTCAATAATGCCGGAATCATACGACCCATCAGAGTTATGGATGAGGACAACTCGGAGGCTTTAAAGGCCATTCTGGACACCAATGTGTTGGGTGTCACTTGGTGCACCAGGCAGATGTTCCGATCTCTGCTGCGCCGCAAGGTGAACGATGGTCACGTGGTCATCATCAACAGTATTGTTGGCCACAAAGTGCCCATGCTGGAGGGCTTAAACATGTATGCTCCCTCCAAGCACGCAATCACTGCGTTAACCGAAGTCCTGCGCCAGGAGTTCATCAAGAGCGGTACCCAGACCAAGATCACAGTGAGTTCAGGTTAACTAGCCATACTAAGAATACGTAATCCCTCTAATTTTCATTACAGAGCATTAGCCCCGGTGTTGTGAACACTGAAATCTTTGGTTCGAGCTCCATTGAAGTGACCAGTTCCATGCCCATGCTTCGATCTGAGGATGTGGCCGACGCAGTGTCGTATTGCATCCAAACGCCCCCGAATGTACAGATACATGAGCTTACTATCAAGCCAGTTGGAGAGCATTTCTAAAGAGCATTGGTTTCTTGATAAGAAACCCAATGATAAATGCATAAATATTTGCTACTTAAAAAAATATAATCAAAGTATGAGTGTAAAGCTAATAAACAGAACACTTTGCATCGAGATACTTCAGCTTTGTATCAAACCAGTTAGAGAGCACTTATAAAATAAACAAGTCTTCAATCAGGAAAACAAATGCCCAACAATTGGCAAATGTTTGGATATATCAACTTATTATTAAGCCAGATGCAAAGCGCTTTAAAAAATCCGCTATAAAAAAAAGTAATGCCCTTATTTGGACTTTTGAATTGTAAAAATAATCATATTGTATAGAAACTGCAGTGTTCAGACATAGAAGTTTACTATCTAAATATTTTAAGATCATCTGAAGTACCCACTGTTTCTTGATAAGAAAACCCAATGCCCTTATTTAGCCTTTTCATAAGACAAAAAAAAAAAGCAATCAAAGTAAAAGCGATAAGCTTATAACGGCAAAGGCACCTACAAAACAAATAAACAGATAAACAAAATGTTTAGAGCGTAAAACGTATGTCATACATTTGGGATATATGACAAGTTAGACAAGTTTAAATTGAAATCCACTACAGTGTTCAGTGGATTTCAATTTAAACTTCAATGTATTCTCAGAATTATGTTCTAAATTGTTATTTCTATTTTTAAAAAACTAATTTAAATCAAAATAACGTAATATAAAAACGTAAGCAAAATTCAAAAAGCGATAGAACGTTATCAACTATCGATTACGCTCAAATTCAAATACCTTCATCGGTACCTCGTTCGGAACGTTGTACAACACTAGCCAGCAGTCGTAGTTCGTGTCGGGATTGTTTTTTAGTTTAATATTTCTTAACTTTTAAACTGTTAATTACCTAATTGGTCAACCTTTCAAAATTTCAACAAATTCGAATAACCTACTTTTCACGGTTATCACAGCCGTCGCGTTTCCTTGCGCCCACAAGAGCTAATTGAATTAACCACGCACACAGAGGCCATCGTCGTCGCCTGCGTCATAAGCTATTTTCGTCCAGAAATCCAAAAATCCGGACTATATGGATCCACAACAAAAGTCCGAGGTGGTGCCCACCGCAGCTCCGCTACTGGAGGATCAGCTAGACATGGCGGACAGCATGAAGCACTGCTTCGAGAATCTCATTGTGATCGACGTGGGTGCGAATTTGACAAACAAAAAGTATAGCCGTGATCTCGATTCCGTTGTCCAGCGAGCCAGAGATGCAGGTATGTCCGCTCCACCGTGTTATGATCTGTGACTGTGTGTCTTCAGTTGTGTCAGATTAATTATAAGAAACGGGCAGTGTCTTCGTTTTGGGGCGAGGCTACGAAAACACCCCAGACAACAGCCAGAAGGTCAGGCGATAAGTGCGAGCAACAAGTGTGCCATACAGTCGAACTTCTATAGCTTGTACATTTATTATTAAAAGGGTCAGATTTCTGAATAATAGGGGAAATTTGTTAAATTTCAAAAAGGACCAGGAATTTCCTTAATTTATAATAAGAGTTAAGCCAGGTATTAGAAAAACTAAGACTTCAACAGGCTTCTTAAAAGGTACAAAGTTAAATTTATTTAATTTATTAAAAGATCTTTCAAAAATTGTATTATTATAATCAAATTTAAAGCCAGAACTCAAAGTTATTTATCCTTTACCAAGAGTAAACAACATAGTTGCGATGTCTCCACAAATCTAGTTTCTTTGTTTTGAAAGATGCTGCTCCGAGCGATGAAAGTTCGAGCATACGACTGTATCTAGGTGGCACTGTGATGCAAGATGCACTAGCTAACTTTCTCCACTCTTACCTTTTTCAGGTGTTCAAAAACTCATGGTTCACGGTACTTCAGTCAAATCGAGCAAGGAAGCGCTGCGCCTCTCGCGCATCTATCCCGACATCATCTACTCGACTGCTGGCATCCATCCGCACGACTCTAAGTCCATTGTGGAGGAGCCGGCCACATGGTTCGATCTGGAGCATATTGCCCAGGCACAGGAGTGCGTGGCGGTTGGTCCCTGCGGCCTGGACTACCAGAGGGACTTCTCCGAACCGGACGCCCAGAAGCAGATATTTGCCAAGCAGCTGCACCTGGCCATCCGGCTGAACAAACCTCTGCTGATTCACGAGCGGTCGGCTCAGAACGATTTACTCGAAATACTCGACAAGTACGACAGAGATTTTCCTTTGTTCGGTTTATAACACATTTATGTTGCAGATTCGAGAATCTACCGCCTGTGATCGTCAGAGGTTTCATGGGCACCGCAGAGGAGGCGCTCAAGTATCTGGAGCGCAGGTTCTACATCAGCCTGACGGGCTACCTGTGCAAGGATAAATCGGATACGGGCGTGCGCCGGCTACTGGAGGATGGCACTTTGCCGCTGGACAGACTGCTCGTGGAAACGGATGCTCCGTTCATGTACCCAAATACAAGGGCTTCCAAGTTGCCGCAGCACGTTAAGACTGGCATCACCGAACGATCATTGTTGTACTTACACAGGCAAGTTTGGTCAGATTAATTGGGTACGACTTTCCTCTAACTTTGTACCTTGTAGATATTGTACCTTCCAACGCAACGAGCCCTGCAGTCTGCCCGCCATCGTGGAAATGATAGCCGCCTTCATGAAGAAAACGCCCGAGGAAGTGGCCTTGGCCACCGCCTTTAATGCCTTGAAGCTCTTCGGCCTGTCCTAAGAAAACTGGTGCCCTGGAACTGAACGAAAAAGTGTGCCAACCAGCAGCTTTATACCCGTAACACTATAGATTGAACGAGCCTGAGATTAACGATAGACTCACACACCCATGTGCCTTAACCACTAATCGAATTCGGGATGAAGCGCTCATCCCGAGATCCCACACACACACAAACAAAACCCATTTATACGACCCCCACATAGCATGCGAAAAGTACGTATACGTATACACCTATATTAGCCCGTAAGGGTGCAAATTATCGATCGAGATTTGCAAGGTCTAGCTTTAAGTCGTTGGGAATTTCCCGAGCAATTGCCCCCCGGACACCCCTCCCCTAGAAACGGTGCCAAGGTTGTGCCGGATTCTCGCACTGGTTCGGTGTTTCACGCCTCGAAGCGCGCGCTTCGAAATCGCTACGTTTAGATGTTAAGTGCTGCAGCTCGTCTTTTGTTTGATTCTTCTGTATTTAGACTGTAGACATATTACTTTTAGTTCGTGCCCCTTGTTAGTCTGTAGCAATGTTTTTGTACATATTTATTCTTGTTGTTCTACGTGAAGAGTCGATGATGATGATGATTATGGGAAACGTAATGTGATCATTTTAAGAGCTAAATATTTATATGATATATACCAACAAACACATTAGTTAGGCTATGAAACATACATACTGAATATCGTGCGCCTATACATATTATATTTTGTTATATTTACATATACAAAAGCGTTGTACTGAACTGATGCGACTTCGACCCACGGAGTTGCCTCAATCCGCTTTGTGCCCATTGTCCGCACACAGCGCACACACTATTTTCCATTTAAATAAAGCGAATTTAAAAAACCCAAACGAACAACGAACCCCTTTGAGTCACCGTAACTTTTGTATTTTTTGGTTCGTTAGCACACTTAAAAGCGCTGAATATTTTTTAGGTCCTCAAACTGCTCCAGCCTATGCAAATTGTCCCACCACAGCTTCAGGCGGTGCTGCAGTATCAGGGAGAACCATGGGGTCAAGGGCGCGCCGAACTTGGCCACTGCCTCGTCGATCTTGTCACGCCGCAGATATCGCACCTCGCTCACCTCATTGCTGTTGGGCCGCAGAGTCACGTCCTTCTGCAGGAACAGGATATAGTCGATCTCGTGCTCGCCCCACACGCCGTCTCCCGTGTCCGCGTAGTGGATGCGCGTGAGGTACCGAAAGTCCTCGGGCTGCAGCTCCTCAGTGGGTATGCCCAGTTCGTAGTTTAGCCGCCGTTGGGCGGCCAGTCGGATGCCAAGTGCATTGCTCTCCTGACGCTCCTGTTCGATCTCGTGAAGCGGATGGCTGCAGCAGGCGTTCGTGTAGGTGTTCGGAAAGGTTATCTGCAACATGGAGTTTCCTGAGAACTGCGTAATAAGGGAATTCTTCTTGGGTTTACCTTATGAGATGAACGCTTTTGGACCAGCATCTCGCCATTGGCATTGAAGAGAAACACACTGAAGGCGCGATGCAATCGCACATCTCCCGTTTTGGGATCCACGCGGTGGCAGTCGGCCTTGGAAGCTGCACCAATGGATTTATCGTTTTCATCCACCAGGATGCACTGCTCCTTGAGGGCATGCGCCTGCAGCGGATCGTGCACGGCCTCGGCGGGCACCTGGCGCTGCTGCTGCTGGCCCACGGCCGTCGTCGAGCAGCCACGCAGCCAGGAGAGACGTGGGGTGAGGAGATTCAGGCGTGAAGCCAACATTATTTGGTAAATGACTAGTTTCGAGTGGGGCCAAAACAAATATGAAAGTGAAACTTCGTAATACAGCGCTAGGCAGCCAGCCTGCCAACTCGCCTGCTTTCCCCTCCGGCCTCTTGCAACACTGGCGCTGGAACAGCTGTTTCGCAGTCGCGGTAGCCCTGGCAATAGTGATATAGAGCTGGGAAACTATCGATAGTGACACCATTCGATATTTTCGATGTTTTGAAAACGAAAATTCGATACTATCGATAGTATCGTTTTTTTACGATTCTTTTTGCAAATTAAAGTTATAGCAATTTCAAATAGAATTATAATACTATTCAATATGTTTTGACTAAGTAATTAACATAAATATTCTATCCAAGCAACTTTGCACAAATAAAATTGTATTACCATTGCTAAACATACGCTTAGACTCTGAAGACGTGGCGTAGACGCACCCTTTCTTTTGAGATTCAGTTAATATTTTTCACCACCAACTCCAATTTAAGTTAATTTAGAATACATTTTTATTATAAAAAAAAAAAATATATATATACATATATATATATATTTGTTTGCATTTTTCTTACTAAATTTCAGCAACAAAGCAGAGATATAAAAATAGTCCCGTACTATCGATAGTGATAAAAAACTATCGATGGTGGCTCAAAAAAAGGAAAAAGTCGATACCTCGATAGTACCATCGATAGTTTCCCAGCTCTATAGTGATACACAATTTGCTCATAATCAGTTTTTCGCTTCCGCCGCTGGAAGATAAAATTGTAAATAGCAACGCAGCTGCCTGTCTAAATCTCCGGAAAATGGTATGTGGCCTATCAGCATAACGTTGGAAACCGTTTTCAATCGTTTTATCCCCCAGATTCGCTTCATACTGATACAAAACCGAGCTGGCAAAACTCGCCTGGCCAAATGGTACATGAACTTTGATGATGACGAGAAACAGAAACTTATTGAGGAGGTGCATGCAGTGGTCACGGTTCGCGATGCCAAGCACACCAACTTCGTAGAGGTAAGCCACTGTCCACATCCTGAATAAACATGCGGTTAATCTCTATTTCCCCTGCAGTTCCGCAATTTCAAGATCGTGTACCGACGGTATGCGGGTCTGTATTTCTGCATCTGCGTGGACGTGAACGACAATAACCTGTGCTATCTGGAGGCCATCCACAACTTTGTGGAGGTGCTGAACGAATACTTCCATAACGTATGCGAGCTGGACCTCGTCTTCAACTTCTACAAGGTGTACAGCGTGGTGGACGAGATGTTCCTGGCGGGCGAGATCCGGGAAACCTCCCAAACAAAGGTGCTCAAGCAGCTGCTGACGCTGAATTCGCTGGAGTAGAGGAGGAGGTGGCAGTCCTCCGTATCGACAAATCGCCCGATCGTCAGCATTCCCCTAGCCCCGGCCAGGCGTTATACCCGCTTATCGAATCTTTTCTCATATACTATTACGCGTATTATTATTATTATCTGTAATGTGTTCTCTATGCAAGCAAACACTCAAATGTTAAATACCGTGTTTAGAAACAAATGATGTACCATAAGAGATTGTATGCAAAGTGCAAAGTACCAGCCATTTCATTTTATAGGGGGTGTGGGACTGGGATTCGATTTTTTTCTCTAGGTTCCGCCCACTCACCTCCGATGGCCTGTGGCAGTGCGCAGCCCTGGTCCGCTCGCGTTTTCCAACACTGCTGCACACTAATGCCACTTCGTCATTTTTTCAGTCGCCATTGTTCTCGTTCTCGGCCGTCGAATTTGTGGAAATAAACGTATTTCCCTTTGAAATTCGCTGCAATAAATACAATAGTGAGCTACCAAACACAGCAAAAACAGAGTGCGTGTCGTTTTGAAGTAATTCGGAGCGCGCAAGTCGAGTGAAAACAGTGACACCAGTCAGCAGTCCACACACCAGCCAGAAATCGAATATTTGTTCGTGGCAAATATATAATCTTGTCAAAAAGCCAGAAAATGTCATCTGTGAATCCGGAATAGTAAGTCGTCACACACAGCAATTGCGCATAATTGGGATCGGGAACAACGGAGTGACTGGTTTTCCATTTCGAAACTCGCCAGCGCCAGCCTTCGCTAATCGTTTCATATATTTTTCTGCGACGTCATTTTGCTACGTTTCATAGCCATTCCATTCATCAGCTCTCTCGGCCCCTCCACTCCCTTTTCGCTGTTGGCCTTTGGCGTTGGCAACTCCAAAGGCACACGATTCACTTGGAAAAGCGAGAATTAACAATAACCGCCCCACACTAGACTCGAAACTGTGTGTTTCACTGCTAGGATGTATGCGAGATTTCGATGAAAATGCATACATACTTACGTACATACATAGGAGCGGCAGCTGATAGCCCAATGTGTACGCCCGAGAAATATATCGTCAGTTCCCTCTCTGATTCGTCCAGCACATCCAATGTTTTCGGATCCCAGCCAGCCATAGGGCGGATGAGTCACCTGCGTGGAGCGCGCGTCCCGTCCCCCCCAGCCCTCGATGTGTACATTGTTGTTGCTCTCCGCAGCTACGTAATCAAAAACCCATTCTAGACTTAATTGCCTGGAGCTATCACTTTAAAACAATTAAAGCTGGGATCTTGATTCTCCCTGATTCTGGAAACTGTCCTTCGACTGCAACAGTCTGGAAAGTAATGAAAATGTTACCGTTAGCGAAACAAACAAACAAACGGTGGACTCTCTATACGGTGAACCGTGAAAAATTATGGGTTTTCACTAGATCTTGAATCTAGCGGATATAAAAACCTTAATAACTTGTTTTGAAATGAATCTTATGTTTACATGGAAAATAGCTCTACAAACAAAAACAAAATGTTACTTTAGTTAGATAATACATTTTTCCATCTTGAATAAGATTATACATAGATAAATTGATAGCCATTTCTTGCTAGAGTTCACTGATCAGAATAACTCTCTTAATTACTTTGATCTCTAAAATCTCTGGAAAAAATTATTCAAGGCCATACATATTGCTATTCTCTTGGTTTATCAGCAGAAAGTTTTCTCAGAGGTTATTTACTTCGTGGTTCTAGGTTCTAAAGACTAGATCTTAAGCCATATTAAACATTTTTCCTAAGTTGGTTAGTATTTAATGAAAAGTAATTTTTATGTTCAATTTTCATGTAAATGGAATTACGAACACACGGGCCCATTATCACACATCACACTTCAACAGCCTGAAATTGGGGGTTGATGTTGGTCATATACATCGATAAGATAAAGCCTCGTAGAAACCGGTTTTATTTGAATATATTCACAGACTAACCAAAGTGTATCCTCCTATTTCACAGCGATTATCTCTTTAAACTGCTGCTTATTGGAGATTCGGGCGTTGGAAAGTCCTGTCTGCTGCTGCGATTCGCCGATGACACATATACAGAAAGCTATATCAGCACAATCGGTGTGGACTTCGTAAGTTAAACGGAATGTTGTGAAAACTGTTAATGTGTGTGACTCATAAAACCTTTTATCTTGCAGAAAATAAGGACCATAGAGTTGGACGGCAAGACCATTAAACTGCAAATCGTAAGCATAAACACGATAAAGTTGGAGCCATAATGCTAATGCGACTCTTTACAGTGGGACACTGCTGGCCAGGAGCGCTTCCGGACCATCACGTCGTCATACTATCGGGGCGCGCATGGCATCATCGTTGTGTACGATTGCACGGACCAGGAGTCCTTCAACAATGTGAAGCAGTGGCTGGAGGAGATCGAGCGGTATGCCTGCGAGAACGTCAACAAGCTGCTGGTGGGCAACAAGAGCGACTTGACTACCAAGAAGGTCGTTGAGCATACCACAGCTGCGGTGCGTATAGGTTTTCTTTTAATGCTGAATGTTTGGTTTACTGAATAAGTTGCTCTTTGCAGGAGTACGCTGCTCAGTTAGGCATTCCATTCCTTGAAACTTCGGCCAAGAGCGCCACCAACGTGGAGCAGGCCTTCATGACGATGGCGGCCGAGATCAAGAATCGCGTCGGGCCGCCGTCCAGCGCCACCGATAACGCTAGCAAAGTGAAAATCGATCAAGGACGTCCAGTGGAAAACACCAAATCCGGTTGCTGCTGAATAACTCTGATTGTGAATCATTATTTTATTATACAATTAAACAAAATTTAAATATAATAAATTAAAACGGAAACCACACAACAATAATAATAAAAGAAAAACATAAGCAACGGCTAGACCACAAAATCGTAATTATAATACCTAAAAATTCTGTAATAATAATAATGATGAGGAATGACGAGTAGTGCGTTTATATGATCCTAACCGTGATTCGATTCGATACACACTTTAAGCAAATATGTAATAGGTATGTAGCCAACCAGATCCAGACTTCAAACATCCCCACACACACATACAAAACACAATAAGGATACAGGACACTGAGCCTGATACTAACCGTCTTTCTGATTTCAGCTGTTCTGTTCATAAGTAGTGCAAAGCGAGCAAAAACGGTGTAGCAATTAACTTAATATACATAACTCTAACCTACAGTAAGAAGTTACTTATCACAGCAGCGCGAAGGTCGATACCGAACCGATACCGAAACCCATATGTACTATTAATTACTACACATACGCATTAATTGAGCGGAGACGGCACGACGGCAAGAGCAATTATGTACTGTGTCAGCTACTACTTATAACTATGTATACATATGTATGTGTTTTAAATTACAAATACAATTTTCTAAACATATTATCTCTAGCGAACGTGCTCGCCACACTTGTCTCTGTCATATTATTAAAATTTGATGTAAGTCGCAAGGAAACCAGAACCGAACGAACGAACATTTTTAGAATTAGCGAACAACCGAATCGTGTGTGTTTGTATTTTTGTGTGACGCAAGGGATTTGTTTAGGCACATAATTAGTGTAATAATAATGACGACATAGCGATGAAGTTTAATAAAAATGATTGCGTGAGCGTAAATTGAAATGGAAAGGTTTGGGATCAATGGATATAAGTACACGCCCTTAGTTTCGGTTTTCACTGTCGCTTAAGCCAAAATAAAATTCTGTTCCGATGCCTATAAACGGTTTGTTTTATTCCATTCATTTTGGATAGTTTCCAAAGGCATATGTGAAGGCCGAAACAAATCTGCACACAAATAAACACTCTTGGCACACACACTGCTCGTTAGGGTGAGCCGATTCGTATGACCGCAAAACAGTCAAAAAATCAATAATCCAGATCCTCTTAAAGTAACATGTCTAAGTAGTATAACAAAAAGTGTTTAAAGTCTTTATGAACCTCCTCAGAAGTTAATTTTTATCTCAGTTTAAATATTTATAGGGTTTCTACTAAGTTAAATATGAGTATTTAGAAAAAGAGATGGAATATTACTGCCTATTTACCTATTACATGCGGTAGAACAACGATAAGTTGAGTTATAAACTCTTATTCTACATGTTAAAAATTAGTTAATCGGCTTTTGCTAATATTCAAATCATGGGTAACAAGAAACGAAGCTAACTTCGGCACGCCGAAGTTCTTATACCCTTGCAATTTACAATTATATTTCAGGGTTTCAATATCTAATACAATATAAATTATGAATGTATATATATTTTTAATAATAACAAATTAATACCTATACATATTATACTTACAGTTTTACAGTTGCACTTCAAGAATGTGATTTTTATTTGAAACTATTTTTGTGCAATTCAAAGCTTATTTTTTTGCAAACAAATGTCAAGAATATATATGATTTATGGGATCGGAAATGACTCCTTCTCTGTTTTTCAAGCTTGTGACTGAAATTATAATGCTGTTTTGTGTTTTATTTTAATATAATAATTATTATACTTACCCCATCGCACATTTTATTGATGATATGTTAAAAAACTATACTATATTTAGGATATCTTGTTAATATTGTAAACCGATTTAGAACCCACTACTTATATAGCGTATATTATTTCCATATTGATTGGTTTCAAAAACATCTTTAGCTTTTATTGACTTCTTCTGAGGTACTTCAGTCTTTACAACAAAATTTCTTCTAAATCTATGACTATTTGCTGTTGGAATTCAACTAAATACTTGAACAGTTGCTGGCAGTGGACAGGGTTTCAGGGTGAGTCTAGGAGTTCCCTTGGATCTTGCTGGCTCGCCGCTCCTGCAGACAAGCGGTGGTGACGGTGGCCGCTGTTGTCCCAATGATGGCAGCTCCTAGGATGCCTCGCTCCCGTTCGCTCAGGCCGGAAATGGACAAACTGTTGCTGCGCCAAGCGGACGAGGATGTAGTGCGATCCGTGCCCGAGGAGGTGGATATGGAGTTGATTAGGAAAGTAGCCTCTCGTCGAAGAGTACGGCGTGGTTGACGGGCCCCAGAGCTTCCTGCCAGTGTGGCTCCCTCTTCTGCGTCTTGTTCCTGGCGTCGCGATGCATTCCGTCCACTTCCTCCCGCCGCCGGATGCTGCCGCTGGTGGTGATGATGACGATGATGATGATGATGCGTTCGCTGGCCGAGACACGTGAGTAGCAGCCGCCAGAAACCACTCCGGAACTTGGAGGACATCAGGTTGTACAGTATGGGATTCATGGCCGAATTCAGGTAGAGCATAAAGCGCGAGAAGTACAACAGATTGTAGTAGCCGGCGATGCCCAGGCTCTCCACATCGTCGGCGCTGGCCAGGATTACCCAGAGAGTGAAGGCGCGGAAGGGCAGTAGGCACACAAAGAAGCTGGATACCACGGCCACCAGCATGAAAATCACCTGCTTCCGGTGCTTCCTCATCCCGTTGCTCTGCTGGTGGCTGTTGCCCTTGGAGCTGGGTGGCACCTGCGAGGTTGTGGCCGTGGTCGTGCCACTCGCCGGCTGAGGTTGCGGAGATGTGGGCCGATGGAAGGCATTGTTTGGACGCAGCAGCTTGTAGGCAATGGCCGCATACAGGAGGACCAGGATGCCGAACGGCAAGAAGAAGAACACGGTGATGCTGCCCACGAAATAGAGGATCGGCCAGAAGCCGTCGGCGGCGGTAGTGCAGACCGGGGCATCAGTGCCGTCGCCGTAGGGCTCTATGCTGTAGCTGGATATAACGATGATGGGACTGCAAGAATCATATTTCATATTAGATTAAAATTGGATTTTAGAATCACATTCAGTGGCTGATGTTGTCTGCAAAGTTTGAACGCGCTGCGAGCAGGAAACAAACAAATATTTAAAAGCTACTCAATGGCTAACTACTGCAAAAGTTTTCAGGGGGCGAAGCACTCAACTTAATCACACAGCGGAAACGGAAACGGCAGTGTCTGCTTATACTCATCATACGCACAGTTACGAATTGTGTGGGATTCTATCTACTCAACTTTTACTTTTATTTTATTGTACAAGAACGAAAGAAGACTACGAAAACAAATTAAAAAGCTATGTTCGTATGGTACAAATATGTATATTTACAGGGGCCAGCTTGGCATTTCTCCGATTTCCTTAGAATTACGAGTAAATAAATTACACGGCTGTTCACAGAATGATTAGAGATTTCCCTGGGATGGGGGCAATATGTTGAAAAAAAACCGATTTCTTTGACCCGTCATGAGTTGTCATAAAAAATTTATTTACTTACAAAATCTGGCTCGAGTGTGTGGTGTGTGTGTGCGAGCGTGTGTTCCTGGTTGTATTTATAAGCAGAGTATATATGTATGTATAAATGTATAAATATAAATATTATTATTTACGTATGCTGGCGTAGCTTAGATGTGTGAGTGTGTGTGTGTATATGTTGTATGTACAACTGTGTTTACATATGTGAAACCTATATCGTGTGCATATTGAGCTAAGCTTTTTATTCGAGCCGCCGCAAAGCAGGCAACAGTTTCCTCGGACATCCGGTGATGGCCGCCGCTCGTGTAATGGCGCCCGAATCATGGCCGGCTTACAGAAACTATTTCAATCCACCTAAATCATGTTTATCCGCCGCCTTGATGGGGTTCCCAAACGCATATTAAGCCATTTCCCATTTCCATTTGCCGTCGCTGCACACTTTTCCCACTCTCCGTGGCATAATGGCCATCGGCCAGAGGCCCCAGCTCCAAACTCTGGCCAGTATCGGTAGTAGTTGTAGTGCTGTTTGGCTGTCGCTGCTGTTATTTATCTTTGGCACATTCATTCGAGTTTAATAGCCCGAAAAATTGATTGTTTTTTGTACGGAAATGTCCAAGGCGGCGGCCCCAGCTCCGGTTCTTTCTTGTGGAGTTGTGAGCTGTCAACGGTTGACTGAAATCGATTATGCCTGCCAAAGGCGTTCTGGATGGGATTTGTGTGCCGGGATCAGCAGCATCATCGACACATTCCAGCCAAGTGAAGCGAGCGTGTAAACGGGTTACGGACGATTTCTCATTCAAGGAAGGTCTATCTTGGGTGGATTTCCTGCCGGCAGTTTCTCCTTCGCCGCTCCACCCAGGGCCTCCTCATCGAAACTGATTTGTGGCTTTTGGCGTCGCGGTTGAGGATTTCTCAGGCTCATCAAGCGACTATCACTCTCTCTGCGGCCCACCCTCTTGCCCAGCGTCGAGTGCTGCAACATGGCCATGACCTCCAAATCACTGCCACATGGCATCTGTAGTTCGATCTTCAAACGGGTGCGGCTGATGTCCTCGCTGCAGCGGCGGTTCGAACTACGCGACAAGATACTGGAACTCGTGGCAGCGGTCGCATTTGATGAGTTGGTGTTCGTATTGGTATTGGTGCCCATGCCCAGCGACAAGGTTCCGCTGCGTCCGCGTGATGCGCCCTCCTTTCGCCTTCCCAGGGTAACTAGTTCCAGCAACAGTCTGCTTGCATCCTGGCAGAGGCGCCCGAAGCCCCGCCTAAACTTCGTGGACATCAGGTTGTACAAAATGGGATTCATGGCCGAGTTGAGGTACACCATTATCCGGCAGAAGTAGAGCAGGCTGTAGTAGCGCACCAGCCCGAGGTCATGGAGCGTCTGGTCCGTGCTGAGGATGATCCAGAGGGTGAGCACCCTGAAGGGCAGCAGGCAGACGAAGAAGGAGAGAACGACGGCGCCGAGCATCAGGACCACCTGCTTGCGTGCCTTTAGGCTTAGCTCCGGCTTCGTGGGACGCGCCCGCAGCATGGCGCCCCGGTTGGAGACCAGGTTCCTGGCAATGATGCCGTACAGCACCACCAGGGTCACAAACGGCACCACGAAGAACACGGAAATGGTCATCAGGAAGAAGGCAATGGTCCAGTCGGTGATGGCCTGCGTGAGGCACACGGCCACCGACGATCCATCAATGTACTCGGCTAGCTTGTACTCGGCCACCCAAAGAATGGGGCTGCCCAGGATTAATCGAGAGGGGGAGAGAGAGCAAACAAGAAACGTAATCAGGTTGCGGGGTCACGGGGGAGTGGATATTGGATAATGGATAATGGATATGGTTGGAGCCAGGAGGCAGAGAAGAGGCCCGACTGGCAGGAAGGAGGAAGAGAAGGCTGAATAGAGACAGAGGATGACGATGGACCGATGACGATGAACGAGAGGTTAACCAAGTCTACTGGAACAGAGTTCACGTCTCTACTAAACCTGTCTGGCCTAAAAACGATTTTCGTGACCCGATTGCACAGATGGGATTCTTTTTATTACCTGGGGGCAGCCAGCCCTGGAAAATTAATATCTAGGCAAGATAAACTTGTTATTTTGATAGTGAAGTGTTTTTTTAACAAAACAATTTACGGTTCGTTTGTATTTAATTTAAAAACTAATTTAATAGGAATATAGTGCAAAAGGAATCTGAATGTGAACAAATAATTAAACTTTAGTTTAACTTTTAAAGTTTTCGTTTTTATGTAGTTATATGAAGTTTCTGCTATACATATTGAGTAAATATGGCTTTAAATATTTTAACTTTTATGTTATAAGCCTTTTACTATAAAGTAGGTACCTTAAATAGATTATTAAGTCTTTAAACTATACCTAATATAATTGAAAATATTCTCCTACCAAAATGTCAACAATTTATTAATTTAAACCATGTAATTAAAGTTTTAATGAATATTAATGAACGTATGGAAATAAGATAATAAATAGTATAACACAAAATATTCCTATATGAAGTGTGCAAATATTTTGTTTATTAAACAAACAAGTTTAAATTTTCATTTATTTTGGGTAACCCGAAACCCAGATTAAACACTTCCTCGACCCGAATCCTCGCCGGATAGACCTGAAGATATGACAGGCAACAGGCGGGGACAATATGTATTCTCTTTATTTTTTTTTACGATGATCCAAGCGTGTTGGACGTGCGTCAGCGATGTGCCCCGCCCCCGTGTCATAGCTACGCCCTTGGGCTGCGTGTGGCGCGTCGGTTTGAATGTGTTTTAAAATGTTTGTCCGCCGCCTCCGATGGCCGACGGCTTCTTGTGTGGCGTAATTAATGGGTCTCGGTCCGGGATTCCAGTAGTGGCCCCACCAAGAGGGGTCAGTGGCCGAGCCGACAATGTGCTGTTTATTTCATTGTTATGGACGCGGCAAGATTTGCAAAATTAAAAAGGGTCGCCGGTTGCCGGTCGCCCTTCGAAGAACGTCCTTGGTCGCGACCATGGACGCACAATAATAAAGTGTCAATGAAATGAAATCCATGATAGCGGACATCGGTGCTTATTAAAGATGACAGGGCGCTGATAACGGGGAGCTGCCACTCGGACAATGGCCGAGTCCGGGACAGAAGGTGGGAGGATGTGGGTGTGATGAGAGTGGAGGAGAAGTGGGAATGGAAATAGATAGGGCAGAGAGAGAGAGGGAGAGCGGTAACAGTCACAGTTTAGCATTTAAATGGACACGCTGATGCCAAACAAAAGGCGAAACACCAATACCAGAAATTCCACAATCCAAGAAGAATGGAAAATAAACAAAAACGAAAAATGGGTAAGAGATGCGGAAACGGAAGCCCCAAAAACAAAACACAAATCATTAAAATGACGGCGATTGACACTTATAATTAATGAGCGAGGGGAACCCAATGCTTGGCCGCACAAAATGAATAAATGGAAATAAGCCATAAACTAGATCTAACCAGGATAATGACATATATACTACCATATATACAGGAATACCAACACCAGAGATAGCATGCGATGAATTAACTAAGTACGATTTAGAAATTATAATGCTAATATTTAATTAAATTCAAGAAAAACAAAGGAGCAGGAGCAGTTGTCCGGGCTTCATTGCACTGCCTCCAGACAGTGGAACCGAACGCTTACCTCGTAAAGAGCGCAGCAATGCCCCAGGCCAGGACGCAGATGAGGATGGCCCGCCCCTTGGTGCAGACATAGCCGGCCTTTAATGGCTCGCAGATTGCGTAATATCGCTCGAACGAGATGGCCAAGATGGTCAGCACGCTGGCGTGGGCCACCGTTAGCTCCACGAACGGCACGGCCTTGCCTGGTTGGCCGGAGGAGAGGAGAGCACAGCAGTTAATTAGGCTGGGGAAAATAAACAGACCAGTAGGAGTAGCAGCACTTACACATCTCATGCCCGAGGACCCAGGTCTCTGGGCGGGTGTTGACCTCCACGAGGACGGTGGGCGTGCAGACGAGCAGGACCAGCAGGTCGGCGATGCTCAGGTTGGTGAGGAAGATGTTTGTGGAGTTGCGCATATCCTTTGTCTTGACAATCACAATGGGCACCTAAAAAGAATATAATTTTAGAGGAGAATAGAGACGGTCATTATGATTTATATAAAGTTAAAGATAACTCTATCATACTCAATAATGTTTATTACATTTAAATTAAATTTTTCCCTAACTAAAACCAGTAATTAAACAAGTAAATCTTGTTTGCAACCGCAAAATAACATATTTACTACAAAAATGGTTGCAAAACTTTCCGAAAGTTTACAAAGAGTTGTGAGCAATTTTCAAAGCGAGTTAATTTAAATTGTTTGAAATAGTTTGAAGCACTCACCATAACATTGCCCACCACACCCAACAACATGATGACTATGCAGAAGAACATGGCGGTTGTGCGGATATACGACGGAATCTGTGGCAGCATCTGCTCAGCATCGGCATCGGCGCCGTCCTTGGCTGATGTTTCTGCTGTGGTTTCGGTAACTGCTTCTGTTGCGGCGGTGGAGTTGGTGTAGGCGCTGGTGTGACGGTCAAGTCCGTCGGCTGGAACACGATGAGCTGGGTGGTGTGGGCCATGGCCGCCACTAGCAGCGCCACGGGATAGCCCAGCCTGCTGCGACGTCGACGCGGTTGAGGCGGCTGTTGCTGCAGATGTTCCTGCTGCGGCGGGGAGTGCATCTTGAGCGTGGAGCAGGAGGGCGGGCAGGAGCAGGAGTAGCAGCAACAGGCGGATCCTAGGGCCTACGCCAATGCTGGTCAGCCGTGGTAGCTGCCCAAGCCTGGCCACAGCGACGCCGAGGCTGCCCCTCAGAGGTGTCCTCGCTGTCCTCGTCGTCCTGCTGCGGCAATCGGAATGTATGGCTCGCAATGGGAATCACAGGGGCAACATCTCTCCGGATGGATTGCTGCAGCCGCCACCGCCCGCGGTTCAATTAAGTGGGTTACGAGGGGTTGTCCACCCCCAAAATCCTCCGTAATTGCCCGCCCGGCAAGTTTATACTCACGCTTAAATACGCGCTAATGAAATTAGGATGTCCAACGGCCTCTCGGATACGCTCCTATCGCCGGATCCGGATCCGGTGGCATTAAACAAATCAATCAGAGGGGCTTTGCGGTTGTCGTCCGTGGTCTGAAGTGGCTCTGTAATGGCAACGGGATTAGCATTTAAGTGTCGGGCCCAGGATCAGGAAATAACAGGCCATCGACCATGCCGGTCGGCTAACTAACTAACGATAATGAATGAAAAGTTCATTAGGCGCCCTGTCATTTACATAACATTAGAGCATCCGGCCCCCAGCTGAGACTGCTCCATCTCCGCTTTGCCATAAACAAGCTCATCACAATGGGTCTGGGGCTCCTGGCCAGGCGGCACTCGTTCGGAACCATCCGGACAGTGGCGTGGTTCGCCTAGGCAGCAGGGTGCTTCTTAAGCGATTCTAATAGGAATTTTGTTAGGGGATATGAATATTGAATACACAAAAAAACTTAAATCTAACATGGTGGAAAGATTTAATTTAAAAACTTTATTATATTTTTAAGATTTTAAGTTGAAGGTTTATAACAGAGTAACTTATCATAAATGGTATTTAGTTTATAAATTACATTCTTTAAGGATTCTCTATTAAAAACCTTCTTTTGTTTATCCCCAAAACGCCGCTCCTGACTGGATGTTGGCGTCCAATCTCTGGTGGCACTGTCGCCCGTCTGACGACGATTATCACCGAGTGCTGCTTTTGTGGAGATGAGCGGATGATGGCGGCGGCAGCTCAGACGACCATCTCCATCCTCGTCAGCCAAATGGCTTTATTAAATCCCCATTTTTGTGGCGCGCAACTCGCTTAATTATATTATGCTCATACACACTCGAAGGGACAGGAATAGGAACTGGGAGGAGAAGGGCAGAGGTTTAGGGGCTTGGACACTTGGTGGCATAAACACAGGCTTCCGGTGTTTGTCTCTCGGCTTTCGTTTGGCTGGGAGCGGGGTGAAAGGACACTCTGTGCAGCGCCAGCGCCATTTTGATTAATTTGATAAATTCATTATGCGCACACCATATTGGCCAGCAGCTCGTGGGGATGTCCGTTCCTGTCTATGCGTCTGGATCGTGTCCTTTTTTGGCCGAGCCAAGCTGTGCACTTTGTTTGTTGTCCTGCCGCCGGTCAAAACCACCTCGTGACCAGAGTTTCGGATTGGGTTGTGTGGGTTCAACGTCCTCTAATGACATAACAAGGCAGTTTGTGTCACATTTGGCTTAAAAATGCGACTTTAACGATGCCAAGCGAAGGATTATTCTGGACTCTATTGGCCATTTTGCTGTGCGTAATTGTTTCGAAACTTTTGAGTTGGTCATGTTGGCAAGACAAATGAATAGTTTCAAACTTTTTGGACAAAAATCCCAAATACCCATAAAGAAATATATATGTATATAGTGGAAGGCCAACAACTGCCGCCACAAACATGCGAGGCCTGCATGTAAATCTGAAAACGGTTTATGGTTACGGCCCAAATCCCAACAGCTCGAGTGTCGTCGAGCGGCATTTTGATGGATAACTTGTGGCCTGGCCTGTCTATGAGGGCGTGTGCCCAAACACAATGCGGTGGAGCTAAGGACGAGCATCCACTGGGGATATACAAGGAGGTATAAATTAAACAAACCACCGGAGACTTTAGTTAAACGATTCTGGATTAATTTACTGCAAGAGATATGTATACAAATATCAAATATGTAAGTTATATATATTTAAAAACATATTATCATATTTATAAGCATATTAAACCAAACAAAATATTGTCTTTTATAATTATAAAATTGTGTAAATTTAAAGAAAAGCTTATATAAATATGTATCAATAATAACTAAACTGTTACTCAGTTTCAGATGATACTTCTTCTTCTTGCTCTAAAATTAAACATTCTCTTTCGAATAATAAATTTCTTTTAGTTTTATTTTTTGAGAAAAATTCTAAGGTAATGATTGAAACATATTTGTGAGAAATACGAATTTAGTTTATTGATTGTTTACACTCCTAATAGTCATAACAATATGGTGAATGAATACTTTGTATATAGATTTATCCAGGTAATATTTCTTCTATATTTTTTCCTTGTGCACCCTATTTTGGTATAATTTTTTGGCTAAGATTTGAATAAGGTTCAAAGCTGCTGCTGGCGATAATGGAAATTGAGCGTCTTGGCCCACATGGGTGGGTATGTGCGGGGGGCCGAGTGGATTTGCGTGTACGGATAGCCATGTGTGTGTGTGTGTGGTAGTGTAACGCTTTTTATGGTATTTAAGATTGAACGGAATTTATTGCTGACACCCTAATAAAATTAACATTGAAATGGCAATTTGAGGCGGCAATAAGAATCAGCGGCAGAAGTAGCTGCGGCATCAGCAGTAGTATCGAAATCCTTAGCTCCCCGGAGCTCTATAAGTCGGGGCATCGGCATCCCCTTACACACACACCCACGTACACTCACACACACGCATATCTAATCAATTTATCGTTCAATAATAGTCAAGCCATTGGATATATGGGATGTTGACGGCCCCGGGGCGGATGTGCCTCGGCGGCAGCCACTTTGACAAATCGCTAAGCGTGTAAAAAAAAAAAAAAAAACGACACTGCGGGCAACGGATAAAAAAATTAAAGTCAAGCCGTCGTCAAATTGATTTCGAACTTTGTGGCAGCGCCTTGAACCGCTTAAATGTCCCGAGGAAGGCGACGAAACACATTTTTATTTGGCCCCCAAGGGCAACCGCATCGCATCCTGCGGCTGTATCCGTGGCTTCCTTCGGCCAGGGCTGTCGTACGCTAAATAAATTGAAATGACTTCGTAATTGTATTTGCGACTCTGGCTAAATTAATCCAACTAGTTGGCATGCCGGCGCAGCGCTCGTGTGGAACCAATAGCCAAAGTGGCGAACGAAAACAACAAGAGCACAAAGCGAACAAAGCGCCGTAAAACCAAAAGCTTGTTTTTCAATTGGACCCACCCACAGCCAACCCAAAGTGGATGTTTTTCGGCCAAAGCCGGCTCCGAGGGGCGTTGGCGAGTCCCCTAAACCCGCCTTCGAGAGCCAAATTGACATGTCGATGGTCATGTCCCACGTTCATGTCCCTTTAATTGACCATTGAATGGCAATTATGGCAGGAGCTGAGCCAGGACCTAAGCTAGTGCGAGTTCATATTAGCCCTGTTCCATCTGAATAAACCACATTAGTATGATTCCATTGGGCTAATGTCCTTGTAGGGTTATTCTAGGATACTTATTTTGTGGGGTTGAAAAGCCCCTATATCCCAAAACAAACAAATGAGGAGAGTGTGTTGTCATACACTTGGAAATCTGATAAACAATAGCTTAAAGAGGCTTTTAAAAATTTAAATATATACATTTCTGGTATAGCTATTAAAGAGGTAAAAACGAGCTAGAATTATTCTTAAGAAATATAAACTATGTATATGTTTTAAGCATAAAAAAAGATATTTTTCACCAGTGCAATGTAAATAGTTACAGCGACAGGAATTTAAATTGAAAACGCCGAATGATTGGACATTCTATTTTCGAATTACACTTTCTTGCCCCGGATTCCAGCCAAGCCCAGTTCCTGGGCAACTTTTCAGTCGGCGCTTGGCTCTAATAACTCTCTGCGGCAGTTTGCTGCAAGGAGTCAAGGATGTTTGCCCTGCCCGCAGCCTCAATGCCCCGACGTCCATCCTGTCCGATTTCACTTATTTATGCGACTGCTGCGAGCCATTCTGCCATTGCCCCCGTCTCGACTGTTTGCCTGCTACTGGATACTGGCTACTGGCTACTGGTTACTGTAACTGCCACCGACTGTCCGTCCGGCTCTCTGTCTGTCTGTCAGTCGGTTTTTGTTTGTTTGCCCGCAATAAGAAAAAGCAACGGTCGCGGGGCTAAACGTTCAAACAAAAGCCAATAGATCTGCAAGTGCAGTGCCGTTCAAGAAATAAGCGGTGGATCTTGGGAATGCCTAGTTCTTTAATAAAAAATATAATTTAGAATTCCTCAGAGATCTCAAGTGTTTTTATAGAGCTTTTCAGATGCTAAGTGCCTAGGACATTTTTACCTTTAAAAACGGATTAATAAGCAAATTATTTTCTTAAAGAAAGACACATTGGAAATCAATATAGATTTATGAATATCTTTTCAAAGCCTACAAAACTCAATCAATAATTTTCTTTGCAATCTTTGTTTATTTTCTTAATATAAACCCTTATTATTTTGACCATATCTGTAACTGATTGTTAGTATACATATGTGTATACAATGTTCATTGTACATTGTACACAGTGGCCGATGGTTTGGTCGTTCAACTAATGTTCTTCTAAAGCTAAGAGTTCTTTATCTGGCGGGGCGAATGTGTGCCCGCTGTTTTAAAGGCGCTCAAGTTGCTCATACGCCCTGTTGGTCTGCTCCGTACCGCGTCCTATTCGCCTGATGAACGTAATTTTATATTTCAGCTCTCCGAAGCTTGTTGCTGCGGCATT